CTTAGAAAACGAGTGACCCGGGGTGTGGGGAAACCTGTGATCTTTGGAGGCATCGGGTGAAAGTTGGATAACGAACCGGGGTAAATGGACCAGTCGGGAAAGAGGTTCGGACTTGATGGAGGGTTTCTGCCATCACACGCATATACACATCACACCATGCCTCCGAACGGTTAAGGGGATCCTCATTCGTTAGTCGTTGGCTGTCACTATATCCGCAGCAGCTATCCACTTACACAATCGGGTGAAGTGGTGTTTAAGTTGAAGTGCCCAGAGACAGCCGTCAGCCATTGACTGGTGGGGAAATCTCAATCGGGCGGGGCCAAATCCTGGTCGTTTAAGTGCGAGGTTAAGGTAATTAAGCATCTGGAAGCACGTATCCGTACACGACATGCCGTTCGCACAGGCCGTCCATTTGAATGGTAGCTACGTACCTGGATACCCCAACCCGCTTTCTGTCGGTATTCGAGACAGTACGAGGAATTGCTTTTTCCCGTCACTTAATAACGGACAAGTTGGAAACGAACAGCTGGCGGCTTGTATTACTCCCGTCCCTTACTTTTTCGCGGCGTACCTCCCTTAATTCAGCCTCCACCTTGTCCACCATACCTGTCACTACCATAGCGGCGGCACCTTAATTACCCGAGATAAATGCAAGAATCCATTCTCCCACTTTTTCGACGCACGCATCGACAGTATGTCCTCGGGACGACGTTTCGTGTCCTTGAGCCAAAATGATGCATACTTATTGCCCTGGATCGATCCGCACGCAGGCACGCGGGCACGCTACATGCAGACCCGCATCGCAACCTCGTCTTCTTGTTTTTCTTCACTGGTCTGTCCCGAGTCAACTCCTCGACTCTTCCCGCCCTCTGCTCGCTCATCCCCCCCTGAGACTTGTACGGTTATGTGGGATATAGCGCCCTTCAAAGCATGCGCGTCCGGTCATCAAGTGCCCATCACTCGGGACGTGTGAGGGAGCCTATGTTCCATCTTTTGGTCCTTCTGTCCTTCTTTCGTCTCCCCCTTTTTCAAACACCCCTCCTCCTCCTTCTCCTCTTCCCCAACTGGCTGCCACGCGCATTCTCTTACCACCCTTGTTCAAGGATCGGCTTCCCCTCTCCTCTTTCTGGACAGAATAAGCAGGGCCGTACCGCCGCTCCAGGGGGCACCCCAAAGCTCCTTGCTTCTCCAAGCTGTCTCCCCAAACAAACCCAAGAAACAGCCTTCATTTCGTGACCAGACACCATATGACTTGCTCACATCGAGAGACTGCCGTATATCATCACCGCGTTGTCAGTGCAGCCTTCTTCCCGAATTTCAATACAGTTGATCACTCCGTATCGCGCCGCAACTCACGTATAGGGCCCTTCCCAGAAGAAGCGGCTTTCTGCAGTCCCCCACAGTTGGTACGCGTACCCTTCGCCGATTGAGCATTCATCATCTCGAGGCAACTGGAAGGCTCACGGTCGAGATCGACAAGTACCAGACCCTAGAGAGCCATTTTCCCGCACCTTAACCATATAATGAAGAACATATGTGCTTCTCTGGGTCTGCCGGGGATCCAGCACAAGTTAGCGAGATGCTTCTGAAGGGACCCAAAAGGCCTCAACCATTCCGCGTGCTGGATTTTCAGCCTTTTTCGCTTTTCGCACTGCTCAGCATTCAGCCCAGAAGCCTTCGGCTGTACCGAAACATGTCCCGCCTGTCAGTGCCGTAACTCGTGGGCCTCATGTTGGGTTCTTAACCGGCATGAGAAACGCCACTGTACCAGACCAGTCCGAAGAAGCGGCTTAGGTACACATCCATGTCACAGCAGCACGCTCTTCTCTTCATTAGACTGTTGTTCGTCCCCAATGACTTCAGATTCACTCCCACCCCATCGTCTCCTTTCTCCCCACACCCCACTCTTAAATACTCGGTTCCTCCAACCATATTTTCACACCCTCATCTTGCTGTTCCCTCTTCTGGCGCCCTATCCCGATCACCCTTCCTCGTCACTGGGTCACATCCAAGGCCCTCAGTGGTGGCATGGACTATGAACCACACCGGGATATCTGGCGAGTTCATTATCGCGTGCAAAACATGCCAGTTACCCGAAGTGCCGCCCTTAATGCAACGGCTTGGCTAGTTGCACATGTGTGCCTGACATCCCTCCCCGGCGAACCGTTCCAGTACCCCAGCTTTTCTTCTACCGCCCGCTACCCGCCAACGGACGAGATTTGCCTAAGTGTGACACATTTCATCCGTCATCTGGCATCCACCCTAATGCAGCTTATCTCTTACGGACTGGACTAACTGGCAGATGAACAGCTTATTCGACGACATGCTGTGCAAACCTAACATTACGCCCGTCATCTAACCACACCTGTACGAATACTAGTCTCTCTACTCACACACCCGGCCGGGCACACTGGATGGTATGCTGGTAGGTCATGTGTTCCTCCGCCGCGAAAGTCTATAAAATCGGTGGTTGACCTAATGCGATGCATCTGCACTTCCTGGGCACCAGCAACCCCACAATATCACCCTTCTAAGTCAACCAAAGGGGGTGAAGAGTGATGCCCGCGTACCAAAGACTGCGGTAGATTCGATCCGGACAGCCGATATTAACATTTGGTTACGTATCCGCCCTAGGTCTTGTTAGGCTCTTATTCTCCCTTATGCCTGCAGAAGAATGAGCATCATCTCGCTCTCACTTCGCCTTTCCGCTTCAGTACCAGGGATAAGGAGCCTCAAGGCGGCCTTGGAGGAAGGATGCCACTATGCCAGTAGGTATAAGTCACCAACCTACCTGGTTACAGGATGTGTCGGCTCTTGGTATATAATTTTCCAACCAGATATACTGTTCTCAAACTCACCTGCACTCAAACAGAGTCTTTATCTTGCCAGCGCTGTAGACTATGAGGTCTTTGCTATCATAAACCACAGTAGGAGTTGCAACCAGAAGCCACTCATGGCTTTGTCTACCAAGGGAGCAGCATCGTTCGGGCCGTTGTAAGGCCAGGAACTCCTATGGTGGCCTATTCCTGGGCCCGGAGTGGCTGCTTTCCAAGTTTGCAATAAATACGGTTCCGCAAGTTAAGAATTATGTGACACCATGGGCTATCGGACCCAGCGAACCGTCCTGTCTCCCTTCGCCTCCTGACTAGCGGCACCTTATGCTGCGGGAATATGAGGTCACGGGTTGTCGAGGTAGGGGTGCATACATGTGTTTGCATGTGTGGTGGATTGATTCTTAATTTTGGCCCATGTCCCCCCCTCTCCAAAAGGATGAATATGTCCCGTCGTGCCGAACATCAGCTGAGGCTGTCAGACGGCTTGCGGTTCATATCTGTAACCACTCGACCTACCGCCTACATCTTCATCACCAACACTTACTTATCTTGTTTGATGAATCAAGCTCAGTTGCGCAACGGCTACGCCTGGACACGAGGAAATTGGGTCCGTAGGCAGTGAATCTGCCTATGCAAGGGCTTCCAGGTTAAGTTGAGACACGAATGTATGTTCATGTGGCTACTGAGGAAGGGAAAGGAAAGCCCATCTCTGCACAGGATCGAGTCCACGCTGATGCGCAAGACTTGCCATGATTTCATTTCTTTTCCTTTCTTAATCTGCATTGCTTCTCAATGGTATCTTGATCAATCATTATGTAATCGATATCATTGCAATCTGGATGTTGTTTTAGGTTTCCTTAGCTACCAACTTACTGTCTACTTAGGAAAATCCTCCCCTCTCCCGCTTTGTAGCCACACCATCAGTGAATGAATGGCCTTGTGTGGTTCATGAGTAAGATCACGCACACACACACACACGCACACACACGCACGCACGCACACACGCACACCCATACAAACCCCTAGTTCCTTTCAAGACCTCTCATACGGATTAAATGCGGTTCAATACAAGAAAGAAGACCAGGATTGCGTGATTTAGCCTGTTCTTTCCCCCAGGGCGATTCCTTCGGAAAGCTAGCCGAAGCCCGCTGCTCCTTCTCGCACAGATGTAACAGCCCAGCCAGAGAAGGCGACTACATACACGCGTAACTTTCACAGCAGCTGGCCATAGAAATGATATTCATGCCCGGGCCCGAATCTCATCCATAAGGCCGGGGCTCTGTCTAGATCCATCTCCTGGGCCCCTTCTTCGATTCGGGGTTTCACTCACAGCCCACGGCCTGCTCTCTACATCCTCGCCTCCGTTTGCATTATCTGACATGCTTGTGACTACTGGAGCAGTGACGTTGAGAGAATGCTAGACAGGCACAGGGACATTCATAGCTGTGTAGACGCGGCCCGCCACCTGCGCCGCCTCTCAGGCAGCTTGAATTGCCACCTGACGTTCCACACCTATCACAACCTAGGCATACGCCTTGACATTGGTTGGTGACTGGAAATACACTGACCCCTCCGGTGCAGACCAACATCAAATCGAGGGACCGCCTCTTTCCGAGTCAATTCCAGTGTCTATCAAGTATGAAGGAGCCTTGAACAGCCTCAACTCGATGTCCTCAATCGCTGATAAGCACTATGAAAAGACACGCATCCATGTATCATTCACCTGAGGTTGTTGTTACAGCCAAAGAGGACTTACCAACAACACTTTATGGAATTTCCTGTTGTGAAGCTAACATGTGTCCTGGGAAAGTGGCGTTTGCAAATTTCACACTGATCAATTCGTCCGGTTTCCTTCGTTGATCTCGTCATTTCTTGGTCCCTGGCAGCGGCCCCGCAATTCCTATGTACAGTACTGAACCTCGTGAGGACCCATGACCACCTCCACAAGGGACTGCGGTCCGATATGATCACTATCCAGACACCGCACATCCCTCACCAGGGTTAAGTAGAGTGGGATCGAAGGGTAACATTCGACGGCTCTGCAAAGTATTCAGCTGTGCGTTAGAGGTGTCACACTAACGCCTCCATCTGTTGCTCTTTGAGTGCTACCATTTTGACTCTCTTCAAATTCCAGACGCCCATTCCTTCGGATCCCGCCACTTCAGTGTCGGATTCCTTCCGGGGTATGTTGTAGGTCATTTATTTCTGGCAAGGCTTATGTACTTGACTCAAGGCCAGCCCCCGGCTGACAAGGCATCGACAAACCCCTGCCCATCCTGAAGTGGAGCCCAATGGTGTGCGATGCGATGATCCATGAGACCCGAGCTGGGAGGCGCCTTTGGTTCTACAAGCGAAGAACCTGACACCGGCTTGCAATCCCGTCGAATATGCACGTGTTCTCAATGGGCACATACTGGTTTGTGATGATTTTGATCGTCTCCTGAGCCACCATGCCACCTGTCACGGCAGAAATGTTGTGTAGCTCCCCGCCACCAGCCCGGGATACCTCTTGTGCAGCTTGTACGAGCCGCTCGTTATCGCTAAAGTCTGGGAGAAGCGCTCGAATGTTTGTCAAAATTTCATCCGGGGATGCTGTGGCTGTGTGGGACGTGGAACGGAGGGCGAGGTAGATAGGAAGTAATGACAACGGCATCACACCCTCTTGAGCCATTTTGTCGTTGGCAAATTCTTGTTCTGTGCCGATAAGCATTGACCCTTCAACCCTTGACGATCTTCATGATACTTACCTGCCACTATGCGCAGCTGTTCGTTCCCACCATTTGAAGGGACAATCAACTTGACAAAGGCCGCATTCTTGCAGAACAGTTCGACTTCGGCTGGGTCGACGGCCTCGCCACCAGGTTTCTGGCGGACCGAATCTAGGACCTCGGCTGCATCCTTGCGAGCCTTGGCCTTATAAACATCCTGGAGTTGGATGTACACGCTAGACTGCGCCTTCATATCCGGGAGGCCGCCCGGAACAGGCAAGCATTGGTGCTTCTCATAGAACTCTCGGACTGCGTCTGCAATAATCCAAAAACTCGATTTTCCCTCTCGCTATGATAATCGATGAGTTAGTATATGATTCTGAGTTGTCTTGCACAGGTGGATTGACATACACTATCGGTATGTTTGTATTCAAAGACCTGCCTGACAGCAGATGGGAGAGAGGGAGGAAGAATGGTCTTCAAGACCGCGGCAATAGCCTCCTCGAAGTTCTCCTCTCCACCTTCTGCGTTATCCGTCCTTGTAGCCCTGGCTACCAAGTTCCGGAACTCAACCTTCTCCTTATAGTTGCTAGGCGCAGCGCCGTTATGGGACGCCTTCCAGACCTTAAGATAGTGTAGGAGGATGGCCACGAAGGGCAAGTGTCCATGGTCGTGGCTGTTGAGATTATCAATATCCTTGGTCATTTCTTCGGAAAATGTCTCCAACTCTTCCCATGGGGCCAAAAGCCGTAAATCTGTGGTCGAGGTTGCATCCGGATGGGTGTCGACAATAGGGTAAACTCCAGGAAGATGAATGCGGAAGTACGAATAGAAGCCAGCTGAGTGAATGGCTATCAAGGGAGTCTTGTGTTCGAGGCTGTAAGACTCGATGGCCTGAAGACTCTCAGGCTTCGTGGGTAGCGTGTACAATATCACGGTAAAAGGGGTTGCGCTGTCTAGGACGTGTTGGAGGTTCATCGGTTCCTATCTTTGCATTAAATCTTGCCGGTGAGCGCTGCAAACGGATGTTGTTACCGATTTTTGAGGATACCAGTCACCCTGTACCTCGGGGTTGAGCTCCAGCAGTAATTCGGTACAGCTCTGGGCTCTGGATTTGCCAATATGGGACTCGTCCAGGAAGAAGTTGACACCAAGGTCTGTCTCGTCTACTACGGCTTCGTCGGCGATAGTAAACTTGCCAATACCTAGGCGTGGTTATTGGTTTGGAAACGCGAGGATAGGGGCGTTTGCAGGAGGCTCACCTGGGAGAACAAGGTTCTTAAGGGTCTCAACACCGACAGTTCCCGAGCCCGAGTTCACGAGCAGAATGTTGGCAGACTCTAGGGCAGCTTGACCACTCGCAGCCCAGAGTCTAAGCTGACGATCGTACTTCTTCTCTTTTTCAGAAGGGACGGAAAGGGCTGGAGGAGCTTGATCGACGATGATGTCCGCCATGGTAGGCAGGCGCCGTGATGAAGGGCTCTGTCCCAGAAGCGAGGGGTCGAATGAATCCGGGAATTGAGCCTTGCTCTTGATCCAAATCCCAATCAGAGTGTAAAACACTATATGATGTCCTGATCCTTTGAGTTAGGTGCTGCAAGGTATGAGGTGAAGGTTGCTGGCAATGGCGATTGGATGTGGGGCACTGTAGTGGGCAGGATGAGGTCTTGAAGTTGGGTTGGTGGTGACAGTGCTTGCTCACCGAGTGCGTCGTTGATGAAGTAGTACTAGTGCAACGATAATTCACACTGTGTAGCTTTAGCTGACATAAGCGTATCTTCTCGTCCGAAGGCTTGAGTGCCTTAGGTCAGATACCTTCCGCAAGGCTCCCGTACTTCTGTTGAGGCGGTGGAGTTATCACAGCCCCTTGTGATTTGTTTTGCGGACATACCACTTTCTTTCCAGGATCTCTTGGAACATTTTTTACCCTTTTCTCTTTTGGCAGCGACGTGATTAACCTACCTTCTGCTATGTCCTGTGGTGGGTGTGGCACTTATAACGCGTTGTCTTATTGTGTGCCTGTGCATCCTCCCGACCTCAACCGCCTTGGCTTGTATCCCGTCATGGATCGATGCCCACGCTACATACAGTACGTTGTTCAATCTTACGCGATACTCAAGAACCGCTATTGCATATGAAACGAGCGACTGCGGCTGTTGGCAATCGTTGTTTGCAGGCTGCCATCCACTCCCTGTTTTGGTCGAGTGCCGCAAGCGAATACTACAGGGGAGCTTGAAGGGTCTCCCTCGCGAAGTTGCCTTTGCAATGTGTATTCCCTGCTTTTTAGCCAGAACCCCCCCACATCCAACGCAGTAAGTGGTGCCTTTCGAAGATTCCGACAAGCAGCAGGATTTGCCTTGGGAGTCGGAATGGTTCAGCACACTCAACGTCAGCAACTAATGTCAGTCATGAATGGGACGTGTTGCAATGGTTTGAAAATCGGCGGTCGCCCAAGTGCATGCTGCGAAGGGAGCAGCGTCATGGCCCAAAAGTCTTCACCGACGGGCTTGTCTTCCTCTTGCCTCTATTTTCTAGATACTGGCTTCGGCGTCGTACATGACAGCTTAGCCTGGCGGTATGTAATAAAATCGATCGGACTGATGGGATTGTGGCTTGTCGGCATCGGCATTGTCGTTGGTGCTGGTCAACCCACGGTACATGAAATTTCCTAGACCGAAAATGCTTGTACGGACGGAACTAATGACCTGGGGCATCACCGATGATCTGTCATTAAGCAGGTCGGGGTTGAATCAAGGCCACGTTATACTCATCTCTTTTAACGGGGTTGATGCATCAGGGCCGGGCTGGAATTCATTCCTCAGCAAACAACAAAATCGATAACAGGGCCAAACAACAATCCGACCGTGAGGTCCACCATTCTCTCGACGAGTAAAGAGACGGTTGGTTGTCTTGACCCCAGGGTGCTCCCTCCCTTTTTCTGTCTCACCACCTCTCAGTGTCTGACTGTCTGCGGTTGATGTGGCGCGCCGGCTCTACGCCGCATTCGCATATGGATCCAGCTTACGGCCGGCAGCATCGGGCCAGGAACAAACGAAGTGATATTCGGAGCTAGCGAATGTGTATGCGCGGAACGCCGAACGTTCTTTTTGCCTCTAATTCGTTGCCCCGAACGCCGACTTAGCTTTTATGCCTTGACCATGGCAGTCCCCTTTCTTAATTGCGACCCCCCAGAGCCTCGAATCCTGTATTGTATTTCACATTCCCTTCCCAAGGGCACCACCAACACACCCTTGTCGGATGCGCCTCCCGGACTTCTCGTGGCATTCTTCGCTATGAGTTGCCCCGGTCCATTGTCTCCTAATACTATACCTTTGCACCACTACGCGTTATCGTTGTCGTCGTCGTTGTTATCTTCGCCATTCGTTTAATCCCGGATGACTTTGCGGTCAAAATATCAGCTTTGCATCGAGAGCACATAGCCTGGAAACACGACAGCTACGTAGAAGGAGGATCCCTTCGATGGACGCCAGAATTTAGGCACCTCAGCAACAGTCATTCCCAATCCGACTACTGATATTTAGCATCAGCCCTGTCCGACCAAGCCTTCCGAGTTACCCCCGTCGGCAGTCATGGGCCAAAGCAGAAAGGACGTCGAAGCTACCAAGGCTGGTATGCCTCAAAAGTACCACTACAGAGATACTACCCTGCCGACATGGCGGTTCTGGGCTCTCAGTGTTGGGTAGGCATTCAGCGTCACTCGGTATATACGTGTATATCGAGTGGTCTCCGGACATTATCAAATCGATTCGTGCTCACCAGTTATTTAGGCTTTGCCTTGGACTATTTCTTTCAATGTTGGACGCTTCCATTGTCGCTACAAGTCTGTATACAATCGGCATAGAGTTCGACTCAATGGACATCATCAACTGGGTTGCCTTGGCCTACACTCTCACATACTTGAGTTGTGCGGTACTGGTTGCACGAGTTTCCGATGTTGTGGGTCGTCGGAATGCTTTTCTGGCAAGCTTCATTATATTCTTTGCCTTTTCATTGGGCTGTGGCTTTGCTCAAAGCCTGGAGCAATTAGTTGCATGCCGCGCTCTTCAAGGGCTAGGTGGATCAGGTGAGTTTTGCGTATAGATCTTGGCCCTGCCATTACTCAAACTCATTGCTAGGGCTATACTCCATGACGATGATCATCTTCCCAGAGGTCGCACCGAAGCATTTGCTCCAGTTTGTTTCCAGTCTTGTCGGTATGGTCATCGCCAGTGCCGGTGTGCTTGGGCCAGTTTTGGGAGGAATTCTCACCCACTATGCTTCCTGGAGATGGGTGTTTTGGATAAAGTAAATCCTACTTGAATGAGCATAACACTGCTCAGCAAACTCATGCAGTATGAATACTGACAAGATCACAGTGGTCCCATCGGCTTTGTCTCATTGCTTGTCTTTTATTTGGCGTGGCCTGATGCTGAGCACCTCCCGACTCTGCAGCGTAGAACGTGGAAGGAGTTGGATTTTGTAGGATCCATCCTCCTCGTCACCGCATCTGTACTTGTTGTCTCTTCCTTCCAGAACATCGGCACGGACAGTGAAAAATGGTCACAAGCCGTCTTCATCGCACCGGTCACCGTTGGCAGCATATGCTTCATGCTGCTGCTGGGCTGGGAGACACTGATTCCCAAGCTACGGAATAATCTCATTATGGCGGCCATCCCGATCGGTCTTCTGCGCAATCGCGTGTACCTTGCCACCACCTTCAACACGATGTTACTAGGCTTTCCGTATCTTCTGACCATCTACGCATTTCCCATCCATTTGCAGATAGTCAACGGCAAGAGCTCGCTACTTGCCGGTGTGCTTTTGCTGCCTATGTTGGGATCTGTCGCTTTGGGAACTGCACTCGGCGGGATTGTTAATAAGAGCAAGAATCGCCTTTTCGAGACCATGGCAATAGCAAGCTGCTTTATGGCTCTTGGATGTGGCTTGATGACGACATTGTCGTCAAGTGTCGATCTGGAACCTAAAGCACTTGGCTTCCTTACTTTTGTTGGCTTTGGCTTTGGGTTATCTGCCACTTCGTCCACCATCCTTGGAGCAACAGAATCAGAGATTTCAGATCATGGTGAGCTTCTCAGATCTGTTGCGTGTCGACTCGGCAAGCTGACAAGGTGAAGCGCCTGCACAGGCAATCATAGCACAAGTACGGATTCTCGGCGGTAGCTTGGGCATAGCGGCGTCGACGGCGATCCTGGGCAATTTCATACGAAAAGATTTGACCGGCGTGGTCAGCCCGGAGTATTTATCATCAGTACATGGAGTGGGCATGAGTCTGACGGAGGCGCAAGCCGCGGCCGTGCGCCAAGCCTATACGGACTCTTTCCGGAAAGACATGCAAGTGGGGACAATCTTGTCGGGCATAGGAATCCTTCTCAGTTTGGGGATCTACCGCCGAAACCGGGTTACATTCGAGGAGCAACGACAGATGCAAATCAAGACCGAGGTGGAGCGGCGCCGGAGAGCATCGGCGGTGACGACGTTGGTGTCTTCGATTACCACGGACTGAGAAGACTGGTTGTTGGGTAGGGGCGTTTCCGGGGCTCTAGAAAATCATGGCTTTGTATTGTTTCGAAAATGCCGATTGCATGCAATACAAATGTCGGTATTCACTATCCTCCCCCTACCTCCCGGACAGGGTAACTAACTGTTGCCAACAGGTTACTCGCTGGTTGTTCGCGATGTCACGAGAGAGATAACGTACGAGTATGGTAACAAACGTGACACCTAATTAGCCACCTGGCTGAAAGTCAATGATGCGCACGAACGCGGGTCGATGCAAGCTCTTCTTTTGTACGTGTGGCCTTGAAGACCAGGCAACTTGGACTGTCTTCCATGCCCGGGTGGTCGTTGATATGGGGATAGAAAAGATGTCCAGTTGAAGTTTGCAATCACCTCATCGGCGCAACAGCCTCTGAAAGCCTCAGGAACTCCAAGAAGCCCCAGCAAATGACCTCTTCAGCCCTGTGTTTCCCCTCCTATCAGGGACTAAGAGGCCGTAATCAAATGGTGCAATCGCGTTGTCCCCGCGCCGGTTATCGGGTGCTTGAAACCCCGCAGTGTGGGGCTCATTCATTCCGTGCGCCGTGCCGTTCACTCTGCTCCCCCTCGTCTTATCCGTTGCGCTACTATCGGAAACATGTTGAGAGCCATTTGTCCAAAGAGAAACCTTACCAATCCTCTGTTCTCATTGGACAGAACCCGGCAACCTGGCCTTCCCCTGGATCTTTAGATCAAGCATCTCCTAGGCATATATAACTGCTTCATGCTTAAGGCGACAGGCCGTTCCCCTCCCTCTTATCCCGATCATTACATATGCCCCATTACACCCGAGTAGCTCGTTCCTTCTGCTCCTCGCTCGCCTTTCATCGCGGAATTCCCTGGAGATTCCATCCATTCCGAAACGCCCCTAACTACAAAACAATCATGTCTGCTGCCACGAAGCGCCTCGAGGGCAAGACTGTGCTTATCACCGGTGCCTCGAGCGGAATCGGAAAGAGCACAGCCTTTGAATATGCACGAACGGCTCCCAACAACCTGAAGCTCGTCCTGACGGCCCGTCGGATCGATACCCTCAAGCAGGTTGCCACCGACATCCAGAAGGAGGTCGGCAACGGCGTTAAGGTCCACCCCGTCAAGCTGGATGTCAGCAACCCTGAGGAGGTCCGTCAGCTCGTGCCCAACCTGCCCGAGGAGTTCCGTGACATTCATATCCTAGTCAATAATGCGTATGTAACGAAAAGCTTTTCTCCGTGAACGACGTGCTTACTGCATGCATCAGGGGCCTTGTCAAGGGAGTCGCCAAGGCACCTGAGATCGCTGAGGAGGATATCAACGTCATGTTCGCTACCAACGTCACTGGGCTTATTAACGTGACGCAAGCCATTCTCCCCATTTTCAAGGCACGCCCCGATGGCGGTTCAGGAGACATAATTAACATTGGCTCCATTGCGGGTAAGCTAAGCCATGTCTCTGGGGTGTTGATTGCCGGCGCATTTGATTGACATTCATAACCCTAGGTCGTGAGCCTTACCCTGGAGGTTCCATCTATTGCGCAACCAAGGCCGCAGTGCGCAGTTTTACCGATAGCCTGAGAAAAGAGCTCATCTCGACGCGTATCCGCGTCATTGGCATTGACCCCGGTCAGGTTGAAACGGTAAGCCAACCCAATTTGACCGACGGTTCCAAAGACTGCTAGTTGCCTAAACTAAAACGATGTAGGAATTCTCTGTTGTACGCTTTTACGGCGACAAGTCTAAGGCCGACGCCGTCTACGCGTAAGCCATCACTTCTCTTTCACTAAACCCAGTGGACCATTGCGTCTTCTCACGAGAATGAGTTCCTGGTGATGTACTGACATGTGCCATAGCGGCTGTGAGCCCCTCACCCCGGAAGACATTGCCGAGGTCATTGTCTTCACGAGCACTCGCAGAGAGAATGTCGTGGTTGCCGACACCCTTATTTTCCCTAGCCACCAGGTAAGCTGGTCTTTTGAATATTAACTCACATAAACGTTACTAACTTGGCATACAGGGTGCTGCTGGTCTTATCCACCGCAAGTCTTGAACGGACGTAGGCATTACGTGGGAGTAGAAATGTGACCGAGGGTGTGCTCTGATACACGCAGAGCCGTTTAACGCCAAAGATGGAGATTAGGTTGTCGTGGGTCACAGTTCTTAGAATAACGAGCCTTTCGTTCTCTTCACTCACTGGCCTCGGCTAGTTCGTTGTAAGCCGCGCATTTTGGGTGTTTGGCGAAGGTAGATTTTTAGGAAGACATTACGAGCCTAAACTGAATGACCTGTACGCCCTGTAACTTTTTTGTCCCTTGTGTTCACCCGTGGCGTTGCAAACGGGTCTGATAGGAAAGCAGGGGAAAACTGTGGCGACCTGCGACTGAGGCTCATTCTATCTTGTCTAACGGCCGCTCATGCTTCTCACAAACCCCAAGGCAGGATACGCTAGCTGCGTTTATGTCCATGGCATAACCGACCAACCCACCTCCTCTAGAAGTAGTTCAGAAAAGACATAAACTAGTACCGTTGGTTAGAAGCAGTAGGTGACCTGTGACTTGTTAGCGTGACGTCGGGTGGTGCATACAGCAATCCCAATAAGATGACTTGAGTGAGTCTAGAGGTTCTGGAGACCGTTTATAACATTATCATATCTTCCTGCATACTGCAACTCTATTCTGGATCACGCCTATCAAACTATGAATCAGTGAGCATAGGAAGTAAAGCCTACGGCCGTTGTGTGGTAATTGAGCGGTCAGGCCGGTCAGGCCCCTGAGGGCTATTCTAATTTGCTGGCGAAGCCTAAGACCTACCACTAGAGGTACCTAGCGTGCCTACTTGGGTAGGTAGAGAGACGTATAGATATAGCGGCCTTTGCTGACTCCCCAGCCGTATTGCTATATACCTACTACCTACAGATATTCCAGATTTATCCAAACCTTCACTATTTCCGGTTTTATCAAGGCGCTTCGGATTCAGGCGACGGCTTCATCAAGACATAGACCACCTACTCTGAAGCGTCTGCCCTTGTGAGATTTCTGACCCAAATTTCCCTGTCGGCCACTTTTCATCGACAAGGGGCACCAAAAACAGACGCCGCCTTCCTTGGCATTCGACACTGCAAACATCAGCTCCGATCCAATATCCAGTGAACATAGTCACCGACTTAGTCCGCCGCAGACCGGACAGTTCTGTGACCGACCCTCTTCCCCAGTCACTGTTCATCCGACTGTGTCGTACACAGCACCGCTCGCACACAGAATATACCTCGCCTACATGTCGCGGTAGGCCTACTGCCGACCGCGCCGCGACTTCAAACCACGTCCGTCGACCATCGACCACCGACGCCGATACCCGCCATGCCCGGTCGATAATGGCCATGAACTGACAAGATGGGCTTCACAACATTTCTCGGCTCCTCTACCGACAAGCTCCAATCTAACCGACCCAAAACCTCCTCGTCCACCTCACTCGACAAACCCTCCGACGCACCCCTCTCGCAGATACCGCCTGAAGCTAACTCCCATCATGGCTACATCTACGACGAGTCCCAGTTGCCCGACGTGCCGCCCGACTGTCCTGATCTCCGCAAGCTCAACAACAGCCTTGAGGCGCTCGCGACCGTCTTCCCCGATATCCAAATTCAGGTCTTCCGCGAGATGCTGACCAACTTTGACGAGGAATCACGCTTGGCTGTTGTTGCCGACACTCTGCTGAAAAATCGGGTTTCTTGGGTCAAGGGCCGCTGGAGGGTTGTCGATAACGAACATCTCCGAACTCCGGTTGCTATTGGAGCGTCGCGGGGAGAGCAGCAGGAATCTCTGATTCCACGCGTTGAGGCCTTTCGAAGCCCCGAGTACAAGCACGCTGTTCAAGCGCTGGCGTGGCGCGAGTTCAAGGGTCTTTCACGGTCCACCATCAATGCCGTCCTCGCCGAGTCCAACTATTCATATCTTGAAGCCCGGAAGACGTTGGTGTCGCTCTCATCGAAGTCTTGGCGCTTCACCATATCATCTCTATTCCTCCGCCGGAGACCTGTTGCTACCGGCGAAGCCGAGAACCACCCGCTGATAGTCTGGAAATCGACCGGCCAGGGTGCCATTATACCAATGCTCAAGACTACAGGGAACGCCGAGCTCGACGTTGAGTTATACCGTGACCTAGTTCAGCCACTGAAAGAGCGGGCCAGGCAGACTCGGGAAGATGAGGACCGCGTCCTAGCTGTTCTCTTGAATAATGAGCAGGCTGAGGAGATTGGTGCCATGCATGAGTGTGCATGCTGCTTCACAGAGTCCACCTTCGAAGAGTTCACAACATGCAATACTGACGGCCATATGTTGTGTTTCCGCTGTGTTCAGCATTCGATCACGGAAGCCGTCTTTGGTCAGGGTTGGCATAGTAGTATCGACGCTGACCATGGTGCTCTCAGGTGCTTAGCTGTCGAAGGGAATGGCTGTCCGGGCCATATTCCTTACGATCATATGCACCGTGCTATGTTGCAGGAGAAGAAGGGCGCCGAAATCCTCCGCAAGCTCGACCAACGTTTGGCAGAGAACAGTCTCTTGGCATCCAATCTGCCCCTCATTCGGTGCACCTTCTGCGACTATGCTGAAGTGGACGACATTTATCTTCCCGCCCAGGAAACGCAACTACGCGTTCGACTCGATAGTCTCTTCAGCCTCTTACTGCTCGCTGTGTGCGTCGTCATGATGCCTCTCCTCCTGCCGGTGGTGCTCCTGGCATCTATTGTTTGCCTACTCATCAGTACGAAGCAGACGGTCGGCGATCATTTGATCATTCAATGGAATATGGCCCTTGGTCGTCACCGCCGACGTCGCCGTGGTCTCAAGTTTACCTGCCGAAATCCCTACTGCGGCAGAAGCTCGTGCCTGTCATGCACCAAACCCTGGAAGGACATCCACGTGTGCAACGAGTCTTCTCTGGTTGCGTTGCGGACACAGGTCGAGCAGGCGATGAGCATGGCCATCAAGCGCGTCTGTCCGCGGTGCCATACGTCATTTGTCAAGAACTCGGGCTGCAACAAGCTTACCTGTCCTTGCGGCTACAAGATGTGCTACGTTTGTCGTAAAGACATCGGTGGCGCCAACGGAGACGGCGAGGGTTACAGGCATTTCTGCGACCACTTCAGGCCGGACGGGGACCCGCGGCCGTGCACCGAGTGCACCAGATGCAACCTGTGGGAGAGCGAGGACACCGACCTGGTGCTGAGGCAGGCCAAGGAGGAGGCCGAGGCCAAGTGGCGCGAGACGGAGAAGCGAGAACTCAATGGGGCCGAGAAGGCTTTTCTGGAGACAGGCTTCGCCAGGAACGGAGTCTCGCCGGTCGAGAATCGCCTCAAGAACGGGCAATTCCCAACACTGCCGGAGCTCTGCGACTTCGTTGTCGAAACGATCTTCGTATAAAGCTTGAAACACAATGCGTATGCATGGGTGCTGTTCCAATTGCCGCCACTATGAGATTTGGGGCACGTCGTTTAATTTTTGCTGGGCCATGGGCATTACTGGGGCGTTGGGGACTGGCATATTGTTTGTAGCTACATGAGAGAGAGAGAGGAACGAGCCAAGCAAGCCAAGACGCTTGCCTGTCTGTCCCTTCACTTCATAGCTCAAAGGGCAGCACCATGCCATCATCATCTACAGCAGGTACAGTTTTGTAATTTGGGACATAAATTCAAATTCATCTTAATAGTTGATCGAGACCGAGCCCATGAACCATACGCACCCGTTTTACTCATACAAGGACGCAACCCCGATCCCAAGCCGTTGCAAACACAAGCCCAGTCAACAAACAGAACTCGAAAGTCCTGAACCCATTCATAGCTTGCTCTTGTCGCCGAGCAGCTCGGCGGCGGCACCGCCGATGGCTAGCTTGCCCGTCTCCTTGACCTTGGTCTGGAAGATGACCTTGTCACCGTCCTTCCACATCTCGGTCACGAGTGTCTGCCCAGGAATGACGGTGCCAGCGAAGCGCACCTTGATGTTCTTCAGGGGACCGAAACGCTCATACACTGCCTTGCCGGCGATGCCGAAGAAACAGAGGCCATGGAGAATGGGCGCCTTGAAGCCTCCCATCTTGGCAAAAGAAGGGTCGACGTGCAGAGGACTGTAGGGTGGTCAGCAATTTTTATCCGAGGGATGGGGGGATTGCAGCGTGAGTCTCACTTGTAGTCACCGCTCAGACGGTACAATGCCGCCTGCTCCTCGGTCGTCTTCTCCTCGACCACAACATCAGGGTGCCGTGAGGGAGGCTTGTTAGCCGCCGTGCTAGCACCACGATCCGCCGGCTTCTTCTGCCCGCCAAATCCACCACAGCCTCTGAGGAATACCGTCATTTCATTATAGAAGATGGGCTCCTTGGTTTCAGCGTGAATCGTCGTGATGCCGCTTTTGACGATGGCGGCGTTGCCCTTGTCGACGACCTCGAGAAGCTTGCCGGTGGAGACCAGCTTCGCGGCTGTAGGGATCGGGTACTTCTTAATCTCGAGGTACTGCTCGCCATGTAGAAGCATCATGGGAGAAAAGTTTGGGACAATTTCGTCAAAGTTGTACGGCATCTCCGTGTTAAACGGGGGTATGACGCCGAAGGTGGGAATGACCTGGAAATCATCGGCGCCCTCGAAAACGTACTTGAGTTGATCCCGCTTGGCGCCAATACCCAGGTTGTATAGCATCACGTCACGTTCGTCGTATTGGAACTCGGTGCCCTTGTCCTCAGCTTTCATGGCGGCACTGATGGCATCGAGGTATTGGCTGTCACCATCGGAGGATGCCTCGTGCTGCTACAAGACGGATTGATCAATAACTGTTCTGTCTTTCTTTCACCGCCTCCTCCCTTCCTTCCGAACTATCACTATTTTACAAGTCCCGCCGGCATTATGAGGAGGTGCAAGCTCATACCTTGTTGCTCTTGTTCTCCATATTCGCCATGACCTTTTGGAGACCATCCTGGGTCTTCTCTGGGTGATCGGCGCGACCATCCTCAAAGTTTCTGATAGCGTTCCAGTACTTGAGAACCTCTTCGGGGGTCAGGGGAGTGTCAACGGGGAAACCGTGACCGCCACTCCTCTGCCATCGGGTCTGGCCGACCCAGCCGCTGCCAACCTCGTAGAGGCCGCCAGTGGGGTTCTTGGGAACCTTGTCACTGGACAGAGCGAGAACGACAGGTGCAATGTAGTCCGGCTTGAAAGCCTGCACCATCTCCTCAGGCATGATGGTCCGCGTCATCGCAGTGCCGGCGTTGGGTGCAATAGTGTTGACATAGATGTTGTACTTGTAGCCCTCGAGCGCGAGCGCACGGGAGAAACCCAGAATACCGCATTTCTAGCAGGTGTCAGTCAGTTGAACTCGGAAAGTGTGACCTAAAAACACTCACCGCCGCGGCGTAGTTGGCCTGTCCAAAGTTGCCGTAAATGCCAGAAGTAGATGTGGTATTGATAATACGGCCATACTTCTGTTTAAGGAAGTAGGGCCAGGCAGCCTTGGTGACCTTGTAGGTGCCGCGCAGATGCACGTTCAGGACAGGGTCCCAGAGGCTATCGTCCATGTTGTTGAAAGCCTTGTCGCGGAGGATGCCTGCGTTGTTGACAACAATATCAATGCGACCGAAAGCATCAATGGCAGCCTTAACAACGGCATCGCCATCTTCCGCTGAAGCCTTGACACCGACGGCTTTGCCTCCCATCTTCTTGATCTCGTTCACCACATCGTCGGGGTTAGCCAGGTCGTTGACGACGACCGTGGCGCCATGCTTGGCGAACGCCAAGCAATAGGCACGACCGATACTATGGCTCGTTAGCGACGATTCATTGTGCATCCTGCCGCAGAACCTACCCGGCACCACCGCCGGTGACTAGGGCCACACGGCCGGTGAAGTCAACCTTCTCGCCCTGTTCGTTCGGGCCCATCTTCATGGAATCCTCCAGCAGAGTTAGGAAGTCATTGGGACCGGAAGGGTACTGAGGTTTGGAAAAGTCGATGGCTTGGTCCCACTTCTTGATGACAGCGCTCGGGGTGTAGCTGTCGTCGGCCTTGAGAAGAAGACCGCTAGATCTTTCCCAACGCAGCTTGGCAACGTGTCCACCGCCAACCTCGAAGATGGAGCCGTTCTCGTCTGTGTTGTCCTTATGTACCAGGACAGCGACAAGGGGAACAACCCAGTCGGGCTTCAAAATCTCCAGCACGTCAGGCGGCATCACCGTCTGTGTCATTCTGCTGGCGGCTGCCCAACCAGTTAGCTTACACGAACCCCTGTGCTCGCTCCGCTTGTCACACGTTGCGCTTACCGATTGGTGCAATGACATTGGAAAGAATGTTGTACTTGGCACCCTCTTTGGCCAGTGTTTCGGTGAAGCCAACCATGGCCAGTTTGGCAGCTGCGTAGTAGGTTAGCATGCCGAGGCGGTCCTCAGTCAGATCTGCCGGTCGCGATACGTACCCGAGTAGTTGCACTGGCCGAAGCTGCCAAACAGACCGGCAGCCGAGGCAGTGTTGATGACACGGCCGTACTTTTGTTTCCTGAAATGGGGCCATGCTGCACGAGCGCACTTGTATGAGCCCTTGACATGGACCTTCATGATCAGGTCCCAATCCTCGTCCTTCATATTCTTGAAGCTAATGTCCCGTAGGATACCCGCATTGTTGATCAGCACGTCAATGCGGCCGAAGTTCTGGATCGCCGTCTCAATGATCTTGTCGCCGTCTTCGACCGAATCGTAGTTGGCCACGGCTTTGCCGCCGGCAGCCTTTATCTCGTTGACGACAACATCAGCAGCCTAGATTCATGAGAGGTTAGCTGTCGTTCGGTCTAGGGAAATGTTGTCATTTTGGACCGTACCTTTGTGGAGGTGCCCTCGCCCTTGAAGGAACCCCCAAGGTCGTTGACGACGACACTGGCGCCGCGGGAGCCAAAGAAAGTGGCATAAGCCTTGCCCAGCCCGCCGCCGGCACCCGTGACAACAACAACTTGGCCGTCGAAACGCAGCTGACCAGCCATTATGTATGTATTGTGGTATAGAAAGGGGGGAAAGAGCAGTCGCTCAATGAAGCACGGATGGCAATGATAAATCCAAGCCTCGAGTATGAGATGTGGAAATGGAGGACGGGTTAAACGTTCGCGAAAGTTGCTCAATGAATGAGATGGTGGAGTGAAGAAAGGTGTGTGGTTTTCTAACTCAGTACGTCCGGCAAAGTGTCTTGAGTAGCAGCGTGACGGTCCACGGATGCCGCAGAGAGAGCCGAGGCAGCTTCTCTATCCAGAGCCGATAAACGACGCTAGTCCAGAACTGGCAAAGACCAGACTTCACATGTTACTCTGGCCGTGGGTTTAGGACAGGTCTCCATGAGGTCATGTGGGGAAGAAGTCGTCTCCCCGCCCCGAACCCCATGTCACATGCCCCCCGGTCGAGGTGAGCCAGGCCACTCACGGCGCCGCGACTCGCCGGCGCTGCCGCCTCCACCCCATACATCAATCAAAGGGTACGTACTGCCCCATTGGCTGCCCGACCTTGGGATGCCGTAAGCTTAGCACAAAGCAGATTTAGCCTTGGTAAGACTTCGGGTATTGATTGTGATACCGCACGTGCCGAGACCTCTACGCCAGCTGGCATGAGCCGTCGGATGGCCAGTGCTAACGTAGGTATACTCGGCATGAAAAATGTAGCGCACGTATTGTCTGATCAGAATGCCCCGCATCCGGCCCCGGCCGGAACCTCGGCGCAGGCGGCTCCCACGCGGTCCTGATTTCCAGCTTCCGCCTCCCAAAGATCACGCACACGCCCAAGCCACTCACCAACCAGCTCCGTAATCCAGGATTGCTCTACATGGCGGTTGTCGCTGTTAACCATTACTCATGGCCCTCACAGCGTCGTGTGTTGTCGACGACAAAAGCCCCCTCTGCATTCCCTTCATCACAGGACTGTTAGAGAAGCACTCGCCGCAACATGGGGTTCGCCCTTTCATAATCGGTCTTAATGGTGTCCAGGGCGTCGGCAAAACGACTCTCGTCAAAACACTGGCAGAGACGCTCACCAAGCTCGGCCACACCACGCTCGTCTTCAGCATCGACGATTTGTACCTCAGGCGCGAAGATCAGGTCGCCCTCGCGAGGTCTCACCCAGACAATCTTCTGGTTCAGCAGAGAGGCGAACCTGGCACCCACGACATGCAACTCGCTCAGGCCTTCTTCGACAGCATCATCAGCGGGAAGCCCACCAAAGTGCCGTCGTATGACAAAGCAGCCTTCTCCGGCCAAGGGGACCGTCTTCCTGAGAGCCAATGGGTTGAGGTAAACACTCTAGGCAAGCCAAAGGTCCAAATTGTCATTTTCGAGGGTTGGTGTGTGGGTTTCCGCGCTCTGCCGGATGCGTGGGTGGAAGCCAAGTGGAAGGCCCCTAGCAGGACACTCCAGCGGCACAGACTTGAGCACTTGCTAATGGTGAACGAGTCGCTCAAGGGCTACGATATTATGACCGACCTCCTGGACGCCTTCATCCATATTGATGCCGAAGACACGCAGTATGTCTACGGCTGGCGGTTGCAACAAGAGGCCGCACTGCGGCGGGAAAGGGGCGCCGGCATGACCGACGAACAGGTCGTCAAGTTCGTTGACGGCTACTACCCCGCCTATGAACTATTCTCGGACAATGTTAAGAAAGGGATTCTGCCAAACAGCCCCGGCCGCCAGATGAGACTGGTGGTCGCCAAAGATAGAAGAGTGAAGGAACATATGGTGATTTGAAGGCCCTCTGTCGGACGGGATCCAGGGCTAATCCCAGTACAAATGTATTCGCATCTTCCAAAGGAAAGAATGGTAGATCCTCCTACGCCCATACGCCAGTCATTAGAAGCATTAATCCTTGATCGTAAAGAGTCGTCAGAATTGTTGAAAATTACCGCCCACACGCTCCAACGCCTTGCTTGTCATGCATCTAGTGAGTCCATCGGACAAGAAACAATACACGCCGGGTAACTAAATACCGCAAAATTTCGTCGAGGCGGGAAATCCCCTCAAATATCCTTATCAGCAAGCATATCCTCGCCCTTGTGCTTGATTGTCTCAAGCTTCTTGCTGATATTCTCGGCCCGAACTCGAACGGTCTCCTCCCTGCCTGCTATCTCAGTCTCAAAGCGGTCAACCATGTCCCGTTTACTCTTGCGCGCTTCCTTCAACTTCTGAGCGACCTGGCCAAACTGCTCGAGAAACCAGTCTCCCGAGCGCTCCCAGTCGCTGACTGTCATCTGCTTAAAGAACTCCTTCTGGTCAGCTTCTCGCTGACCTCTGAAATGTTCGAGTTTGACAGGGAGGCTGTCGCCAGTCAGCGGTCCCACCGGACGAAGCGACGTTCTGGCTGGGTCATCGTCGAAAGGCTGCTCGCGCAGTTGAGAATATGACATCCCCTTGAGCTCGTCGTCAGCATAGTCGCAACTCTCACGGCCTCGCTTCCGGGATTTGTCCCGATGGCCATGAACAGTGGCCGGTAATGGGCTCTCCTGAAGAGCCGGCCCCCTTTGTGCCACCTTATAACTGGCTCGAGGAGTGCCGTGGTCATCCTCACTAGCAAGATAGTCACTGGCAAGGCTGCCTTCAATCTCTTCATCTTCCTTAAAGAGCGCTGGTCTACGAGAATCCTGAGCATTGTCTTTTCTGACGATACGCCTCAAGTTTGGTTGAGACTGCGTAACCTTGTAGTTTTTAGGGTCGGAGAAGACTTCTTCGTCGTCTTTAGGAACGGCTGACTCGTATGACCTTCTTACGGTTGTGGCATGAATAGCGACCTTTGGTGCGCGTCGCACGGGTGAATCGTAAATGGGCTCGGTCGAGTAGGCGTCTTGGACTTGTGGGCCCATTCGTGGAGGCATGTCATTGTGTGTCGCAGGTAGGCCTTGACCCTGGCCGTTGCCAAGCAGCCGCATTGAGCCGTCTTTACCAATAATATATGGGACATCATTATCTAGTGACCGTTGCATGCTTCCCAATGCAGTTCTGGTGGAAATCGGGGGCGGCGGGGAGCGAGTGTGATTGGTGATGCCAACATCGTATCGTTCAGAGCGATGGGTAGTGGGCGAGCCGAATTGACTATCGATATGGGACTCTGGCCAGAAGCCAGTCGCATCGCTGCTCCGAGAATGTGCACGTTGTCGCTGTTGTCTCGGCGAAGAGCTTTCGGGCATATTCAAAGAAGCCTGCATCGGTGCGGAAAATGTCTGTTGAGGCAGGCTCGACTGGTTCGGTTGGCGTATGTGTGAGGCTAAAGCTCTAGTAGGTGCGAGTGGTTTCGGAGCGGGCAGCTTGCTGGACTCAGTGATTGACTGGTGGGTGGGCTGGGAAGGGAGTTGAGGCGCGTCGGAACGCTGCTGATTTGACTGGATGCTGTTTCCGTTTGGAAGACCCGAATCTAGGGACGCATTCCTGGCGTACTGGGCCATTCGGTTTGCGCCGCTACTCGGGGGCATGGTGTTGGCGGGTGATTCGGACCACGCTACGAGTTGGCAGGGGAGATGTTCACTCCTCTCTCCTCTCAAGGTCGAGCGAGATCGAGGCAGGCGGCAGAACGTGACGAGGAAGAGGGACGCAAGAAGTAATTGTAGTGTGTTGTTGCCTGCCGTAGTCGGGTACTAAGTCGGGAGAAGATGCCTTATGCTGCCATGGCAACGAGACGCCAGGTAGTAACAGGAGCGTAATCGTGAGCTGATGCTGGGGCCTGCCTCTTTTAGCTCGCTGCGAATAAGTTCAAACCACGGTTGTAGAAAGGTACTGGCGGTCCCGGTTGAGGTAATGTCAATTGGGCAGTCTTTGCGACAAGACTTGACCTGGACAAAGGGACGGCCCTGCCTCGTTCCTTCCTATTTTTTTTCGGGCACCAGTCTTGACGTGACGCGTCGAGAACGTCCAGATCATGCTGCTGGGATATTAAGCACCTGCCCAATTACGGGACGCCTGTGCGCGACAGTTGCGTAGTCTGTGCGGGACAGTCGCGCAGGGACAGGGTTCCTGTGGGTTCATTGCATTAGGTGAACTGGATTGTACTTTTCTGATGGGACGAGTCTCACGCCAGCCATAGTGCGCGGCTCGCATACGTCTCTGCTCGATCTTTGTTGTTGTCGTTGTCTATTCGTCGACTTTCTTGGTTCTTTGCAGTCTCGTTTCGCCGTGCAAACACTAGATGGGTGAGAAGGAGAAGGACGAAGATGGCGGCAAGGCAGGCAGGTAGATCAGAGTATGCGCGCGACTCCCTCTCAATGTTGGGTCGGATGTCTACAAAGACCGATTACAATCATCTCGTCTATCACCTAAACAGCCACAGGCTTAACGACAATCCCATCCGCCCTTATCATCATGGTCGTATCTCGACTAGGCGTCCTTTGTCATCAACGCCAACAGTAACTTATGAACCTGCCTGCTCGTCAGGTATCCTTCATCATCGTGGTGGAAGATGACATAGATACCACCCCTGAGTAATACATAACACCTAAGTACTTATGAAACGTTGACAATTGTAAATATGTGATCAACCATATTCGACGTAGCACTCACCTCTGAAGCCCCTCAGCCACGTGGGTGTAAGTGATCTCGATGAATTCTGGTGCCAGATGGAACTTCTTCAAGGGTGTATTCAGCGCAAGAACTCTTGCCTGGGACGAGTCCCCAGCAGCGAGGGCTTTGAGCCGTCGCATAGCAAACCGACCTAGCCCATCTGCTTGAAGGGCCCAGATCACTTCGTTCGCCGGCAGCTCCAACTTCGTATTGATCTCTAGATTCCCATCCAGGGAGAGGTGACCAACTGGCACGAACTCTTGTGCTGTTGGCGGTCGATGCGTCATCTTTCCGCGTTGGCCGCATCCCTCAACGGCGTCATCTCGTCCGGGTATTTGACAAATGGGCTGTTCGAAAGCCCGCTTGAGTATTCATCACTCACGAGAGCCTAAGAAAAAGTCACCAATAAGCCAACATGTTCATCAACACGAAAGAGACATTAGACTCACAAACCACCATATAAACTTGGTGCTCTTAAGCCGACTATTTTCCCAATCTCCAACCTGGCCGCCCCCCAACACACTGCCACCACCACCACAAGCGACTCTTTGGGCATGGATACGCCTTACGTGCTCATCGGGCCTGGCATCCTGTGGGACCAGCTCGACTCTAGTTGTGAAGTGGGTAGCCGTTCCTGCTGTGTTCGCTCCCCCATGGTGTTACATGCGGGTTGCAGTAGCGTCGGTAGGCAGATTATCTGTAATGAGAATCATGCAGGGCAAGGTACGTGTAAACCGGCTAACTGAGTGAGTCGCCTTACTTGAGATATAACTCGAGCTCAAGGGAATATACGGTTTTTTTATGAACTGACGAACAGGCGCTTGGTTTTAAACCCACGAGCAATCGAAGGTCAAGGTTGCTTACTACCCTTGGATGTAATATACTTCGGATATATATAACAACAGCAACAATAGGGCGTGAGATCTAGTACTTTTAGATTCCCCAGACGACCGCTAGCAGCCTAGGTTTCAGCAGACCCTTGGTAGCCTTCATACAAACTTCTGCGCATGCTTACTGGCGACAAGTCTACCTTTATCCTCTGCCCGAAACATACTCATCGGCCCGCTCCCGCTTCATCTATCATCTTTTGTGTCTGCGGCGTAGGTGAGCTGAAGCCGATGTATATCTCGATAACTACAACCGGACCCTCTCACTCCCCAAGTAACGCTCTCTTATCATCGTTCATATGAGCTTTTGCTGCTTTGCGGTGTCCCGTTGACATGCACGATTGGGGCGATCCTAATGCAGAAACACCTACTCACCCAAGATCCTGGCATTCTGTTCGCACCTGACGAGGAGCATCATCACCTTCAGCCTTCGACATGTCATTTCCATAATACCGCAGTTCCAATCTTCTCAAAATAGAGCAGCTCAATCGAATTAATGGAGTGGCCTTCAAGCTTCCCTGCCACAACCTTCACTGCTTCCAACTTGCTGCACCACCTTCAAGACACCCGCCTCTAACCTGTGAAGTGGAAACGGGCTGCTTCCAGCTGGCCAAGACCCTCTCGTGGGGCCACGTACCGTCGACGATAAGTATTGGTGAAATCTTGAAGAAGCGCCCTCACCTGCCTGATGGTGGTAGAATCGTTAGCGCCAAGACGCTCCTTGATTTTGGCCATCAACCGATCCGCTTCAATAGGCGTGATGGTCCCTTGGGGCAGAAGCTGGATGGTATGCTCGACCCAGGAGGTCGTCTGTGCCGGGAAGAGTTCGAACATTGCCAGCAAGACGCCACTACCGTCGGCGAAGCAGTCCCGAGGGAATGTGATCATCATGCCGGCCATGACCTGTTTGACCAGCTTCTCGCCATGAGTCGCAAGTAACTTGCTCACCACCTCGCGGATGTGAGCAGCCACATCCGGGGGCAGCACATCTGACGTCGCAGGGTTGTCACCTCCGTACGTCAAAAGATCACGGAGAAAGTGCAACGTAGCTGAGAGCGGATCACGCTGCTCCAAAGTCAAAGCATACACAGCTGCCTCGAATATGGGGCCTAGAAGCTCTGACGGAATCAGCTTGGCTGGGTAGTAGAGGAGTGCGTCGATGAGGAGTCGGAAGAAATCTTCAATGACGTCGGGCAGCTCGCTAGGCTGGAGGTCGCTCATCACCCGCAAGAATGTAGTGGTCTGAGCCTCGAAGAAGGCGTAGATGCTCTGGGTGATCTCCTGGTTGACGTGCTCCCGATCCTCAGAAAACTCTCTCAGTATGGCTGCCGTAACCCAGAGGAAGGCGCCTTGCCGAGAGGCAGCGAACCCGCCCGCCAGCTTGTTAGCCATCTCTGGCAGCAAGGGGGTCATTGCCGTACGGTATGAGATGATCATGTTGCGCCAGCAGCGGCAGATCCTCTCGCAGATAGGAACAAAGCCCATGAAGTTGTCCAAGATCGTAGCCAGGACCGGGAAGACCTCTTGCCAGTACTTCACGGCGGGATTCTCTTCCCCGGGTCCGACGTACGGCACGACAATCTGTATGAAGATAGTGATAAGCTGGAGGTGGTCTGGTGTCATGTCAGCCTCAATTAGCGTTTCTATACTTGACTGTACTCACCTGCGAGCGCCAGTTTGCCCTTGTCGTCCGTTGCAAGGTTGGCCTTGTTCATCAGACGCTGAACTAACGGATCACAGTAAAGCTTGAGAAGCTTATAGATCTCGGAAGGCGGCTGCACCGCCACCACGCTTGCAACCCCCTCCGTGATCTCCTCCTGGCTCATGTCGGGCAACTTGTCAAGAATCTGGTCGTAAAATGTCTGCATCTGGAGCACCTGACCACTCAAGAGCTGTTTGCAATCGGTGCAAAAATACTTGATCGCCATAGCGGCAGCCCTCACCACCTCCTTCGAGTCCGTTTGAAAAGATGTAACAATGTAGTTGAACTGGGGCTCGAGGTATTCGGGATGAGCGGAAGTCCACTCCGTGTACCGACCGAGAACCATGATAGTGGCAAAACGGAGCTTCTCATGGCTAGGGATCTGAACGAGGAGGGGCATCAACTGCGGCAGCACGACGTTCTCGTCCTTGTCTACCATCTGTCCCATCGCACGCATGGCGAAAAGGGGGGCCTCCAATTCTTGCCAGTGAGGGACTGAGGTCGCCGAAGCCTGGCCAGCATATTTATGCATCCAAATCTTGATGGCTTCGAGCACCTTCGTGAGGCAGTCGGTCACGCCCATCACCTCGCAAGAATCCTTGAGTGTATCGCCCATCTGGTGACGGAATTCGCGAAACTTCTCCTCTGCCTCACGGTCGCCATCAAACAGATCCGTCTCATTTGACGATTCAGATTGTGGGTATTCCAGGTGCTTCAGCAAGATGTCGACGAGCTTCGAATAAATGTCCACAAGCTGAAGCCTGGCCTCGATGTACCGTTCCAGGACGATATACTGCTTCAACTCGTACCAGAACTGGAACGTATGCTCAATGACATCCCGGTCCTTATCTCTGGCTGCGCACTCAAGAACCGCATCGACAAGTGATCCGAAGTGACCAGGCTCGCGAGCAATAGCTACGACCCAGGCCTCAGCGGCTAATGCGAATATCTTGGTAAGGGACTTGTAAACCTCAATGTCCTCTTCCTCAACAGCCGCCGCAATCCTTGGGCGCAGGGCATTGACACGGGGTAGGAGGATCTGGATAGCCTCCAGGTTATCGTCCACATCCCGCGTTTCTCTGAAGATCGTGCACAGGCACTCCGCTGCTTCCTGTGATGCTTGATCGTTGCCGACGGCGTTGAAAATGACATCAAGAAGGGGTGAATTGACGACGGTGCTGACAGGTACCTCTCGCAGCCATGAGGTAATACACTCCATCAGTTGAGGGTTCTGGGCTGCATTCACTGAGACGGTAGGTTAGCATCCTTCGGTGTGGAAAGAGACTAGATCGGCGGTGGCGTACCAGAAGACTGAGCATAATTTATGAGCAACTGTACGACCTGATCCGTGTTGTCACCCAGCAATTCCCTGGTCCGTTGGGAAAGCTCTTCTTCCTGTCATTGCCAATTAGACTCTGATCCTTGTTGATATCGGCCCAGGGACACCACGCCGCGAAGAGTAAGAGCCTGGTCGGTGTTTCCGTGATCCACGTACAGTTAGGGTGATTTTGCGGCCTTCGGTCACCTCCTCGGGCAGCACGCGTAGAAAGTCGAGAACAGCGGTATGGCTGTCAATGCTGTCGCCAATAGACGAAACCACCGTAGGAAGAACGTCTTTCCATTCCTTCATTTGAACTGCCAGTGTCGCCAGACAGACGCAGAGCTGAACTCGTATCGGTTTGGGGCCCGCAGCATAGTGTTTGAGGAGGAGGAGAATCTGGTCCCGCAGTGCAGGCAGCTCGGTTTCTGATACTTGCGTTGCCAGGTCGTAGGTGATCTAGGAAAGCCTTTATTAGCTCATTGCCATGCAAAGTATCCTCTTAATTTTCTACCTTTCCGCGCAAAGTGATGGCTGCAAAGAGCTTGGCCTCGGGCTCGCCGTCCGACTGGAGAATGCCGATGATGGTGCCCCAAGCATCTTTCTGTAGCATCCGTTAGCGAGTGATCATCTCTCATAGGTCGTCGTGGGTCGAGGTATCTGACAGATTTCTGGAACCGCTCCAAGTATGCGTGCGCTTTCTTCTTTGTCTCCTGTTCTCCTCCTCGCATAGTCACCATGGCTGACAGGACATCATTGGGAGCGAAAGCCTCTGAGGCTCCGTTCGTGGCCATGCTGATAGACCAGAGTAAGATATCGCAGCGTAAATCGTTCGGAATGTAAAAAAGGCAGCGGGGGCGAGATCAGGATGAGGTGGCAATTGCAGTGCAATATGGCGTCGCGCTAAAGAAGCCGCAGATGCGGTGGATATAAGGAAGGTTGCTAAGGGGGCAGGGAGAAACCGTCGAATCGTTTTCTTTTTGAGAAGTAAGGAGCGTTTGGCTGCTGTGGTGGCAGTTGAGGCTATGAAAGCAGTGCGCCGACGACGTCCAAAATTGGCAGATGGAGGAGGGGTGGTGGAGGGAGGTCGCGAAAGGAAAATAAAACGTCAGTCAGGCTGGCGGGACAGCGGGCGGATTTGAAAGGAACCCATCCAGTCTAACTAGAGCCGGCTAAGACACTTTTAAGGTAGGCGACAAGGCCTGGCATACCTGGCTGGTCCCAGTAACATCTGCTGGCTTGGTCGGCTGGAGGTACTTGACCTGACCAGCCACGGGTGCTAGGCGGGGTAGGTACCTTGGGCAAACAGAGTGGGAGACACTGTCATTCAGAAGGTAGGACCCATACCGTATCCTCTGACTTAACTCGAAATCCGCACAGACCGCACGCTAGACCCCTTATAGAGGGCGGTCACCTTACCCATCCAATCACTCACTTACTCACTTGCCCACCCACCTGACCGCCTTCCATACTGGGCTAGAATGTGGTCTGTGCGTATATCCCGAAAGCACTGCATCACATCGGGCCTGCACCGGTGATGGAAAATCATTTCGCCATCTCCGCCAGAAATTCTCCCACAGGCTGAGCGAACCTTGAGCAGCATCGTGCATGGTAGGTGCTGAGCATAGTCGCCAACCTCAACTGCGGTTCAGTTGCTCTTTCGACCAATTACCCCACGACTTTCCACCAATCCAAGCTCAACGTAACCGACAAGCACGAAACGAGCACGAAGGAAGGCCAATAATTACCTACAATACCCGAAATTTAGCTCAGTCCCGCGAAAATGACCGGACGCGGAGGCGGCGGTGGTCGCAGGGTGTTGCTCCCGCCCATCAACTTCATCTTCAAGCTTCTCCAGTATGCGTGTTTTCAACTACTCCTGTTACATTGATAGAAAATTGACTAGTTGGCAGACAACACAGTACTGTTCAGATTTGGCTCTACGAGCAGCTGTCGATCAGAATCGAAGGAAAGATCAGGGTGCGCAGCATCCTAAACGTCATGTAAGGACATAAACAGCTGATCTAGAGTTGGACAGGGTTTCGACGAATTTATGAACCTCGTTATCGACGATGCGGTTGAAGTGAAACAGGTTACCAAGACGAACCCGGAGGAGAAGCGGAGAGCGTTGGGTAAGCTGCTTTCAAGACATTGCCATCACGGACGGATAAGCTAACGTGCATGCAGGGCAAATATTATTGAAGGGCGACAATGTCTCGCTGATTCAGAGTCTATCGAACTGAAAATGACCCGAGTTGAGAAGAGGACGACGCTACAACGGTGAAGCGCGCTTTGGGGCGATACACGAAAAGTTGATACCACGGATTTGTCACCATGAAGACAAGGGTAGGCGGCGCATGGCTATTTGCTGCGGGAACTGTCTGCCGGTCTCTTGATCTCTCCGTCTCCGAGAATCAAGCCATGGAGTTGTTGGTCATGCTGCGCCACGGGAATCGGGCTATCCGAGGGCAGGGAAAGGAACTGCTCCGATAGAGCCAGGCCATATAGTAACACAGGATGCTTAGAAGCCGACAACTCGTCATCGTACTTTGACGCGTACCTTCTAATGAAGAGATCATAAAACCCTTTTCCATGACCCAGCCGCCGCAGGGAGCCTGTGTTGTCGTCAATGTCAAATGCGACTCCAGGAAGTAGCATCAGGTCCAGGAAAGACGTGTTGGGGGATTCTGCCCCAGGTTCGCCGAGGACCCTGTCTCTTTGGATGACCGTCTTTGGATCAATGCTGGGAATGCCCCATTTGTCTGGTTGCAGTGACTCGTAGTCGTGTAGATCGCGTAGGCGCACCATGTCCATGACCCTGGGAGGCGTCTCTCCCGGTGCAAAGGGTGACTCATGCAGGTACGGGATGTATACATCTTTTCCAGCCGACAAGGCGTGGCGTACGATATTGTCCGTCTGAATTTCACCTGAAGGCATCGAGAGAAAGATGCTGACCCTTTTTGCCTCTACATAGGGTCCAAAAGTCTTGAGTGTCTCAAAGACGGTTTGGCCTAGAGGGTGGAAGGGAGGTTAAGATCGGGTCAAGGGGGGCTAAGCTTGAAGAAACACTTACTTTGGGCCTTGACGGAATCATGAGCGATGCCAGCGAGTCTGTTCCTCATAACAGAACGCAACTGGTTCTTCGCAGCCACCAATGAAGCCATGGTCATCGCCAGTTTTCGATTCTAAGTGGGTTGCTCGAGCTGAGGGAACTTCGCCGCAACAAATTAGAGCTGCAGTGTGTTATGCACTCGCTGGTTCATGTTCAGAGTCCTCAAGAAAGCGTTGAATCACTTTCGCTGTGACGTGAAACGACAGCGAATCGCCGTTGATCCTCCGGAAACAGGTGGGTCTGTATCATTTACTGCAGTATATGTATATATGCGTCAGCTGATGTATGCATTAAAGCATTTTGACGGGAATTTAGACAACAGTTCCAGTGCTAACGCCTTGATAAATGCAAGGTCTTGAACTCTCTAGCGAACGAATTCTAAGCTGGTAGAAACGTACCTACCTATGAAAGTGGAAAAAGAGGTCGTGCTCATTTGATGTCCTGTTACAGTCCGTTTCATTAACCATACGCGACCAAACCCTCTAGTCATATGGATACGTCGTAGCAGCCCTCTATTGTTTGGTATAAAGCGCAACGCAAGGTCTAGCGAAACAGAGGCGGCAAATACATTAGCGACATGCTGATTCTCTTCCACTTCCACTTGGAGCATATAGTTTGGATCGCCGGTTAATACTAATTATAAAGCCGAGGTCTGGTCACATGTAGTTGGAGCGACGGCAATTGGTGTACGGTGTACTGGTAAGAACCTTGCTGAGCATTTCTTCAACAGCCAAATACATTCACATCCATGAGATCAGACCCCGTGATATAGCTTATGACTGCGTGTTCTGTACGTACGCCAGTAAATAAGTTGGCGAAGCCGACCGATTGGTTAATCCCTAAGGCGGGCTAGGTGACACAGCTTGTAGCTCGAAACCTCCTTGTGGTTTCTTTGAGGGAGCCGTTAGCACGTCGAATAAAGCCCTACCTACAGAGTATGCACCCTGAAGGCTACAGACAGACCAGGCGAGCGTTTGATTGTTGTGGCTATGCCAAGTAGCTAAAATGGTGGCTATGTCGGTCACCTGCAAGCCATTGAGTTGGCGGTGTTGGATTAGGGGTTGCTAAAGGTCAAGTCTTCCTTTGGCTGCTGTATAGCCGTATGGGTTTGGCAGTCAGCCCTGACAGCTACTTTTAGAGTTCTCACCTCCACAGGTCGCGCGTGGCATGGTGCGTCCGGTGATGTTGTAGTAGCGCCTTATCCTCTTCGGGAACTAGAACCTGGCAGACAGCAGGTATAGAGGGAGGTACGAACACGGGTCCATTTTTATATAAGAAAGAAACCAGCAGTCAACAACTCTGTATAAACGTCAAGTGCGCTTACCAGGTCTCAGATGCTGAGGGTGAAGGATAGAGAGAAGCTTGTAGTTCGAGGGGAAGGCCAAGAAAAGAAATGGATTACAGCGAACCACTTTGGCTGATTTGCATGGGGGCGGGTTATGGATGGGGTGGCAACAATGATGCGAGAGGTCGGTTGGCTTTGGGATCAAAGGGTGGCCGGCTAGGTAGTGACAAGAAACGGAGGCACAGCGCCAACCAATTTGCCAAGGCGCGGCATTCCGCTACCTTGCTTCGTGACTCTCCTGGCAGCTTCATCGGGTTTGGGCCCGTTCTTGGTATTCGTCGAGGGTTGTCTCCTAGCTTTGTTCGAGTTTCTCAGGAGTGAGATGCTCCTGGGCGACTATGTACCCGGCTATCGTGTCCGATTAAGGGTTAAAAGGATTAGATGAGGGTTGGATGGAAAGGTGTGACTGCTGAAAGAACACCTTGAGACCAATGTACCTTTTTGAGATGAAATGCACACCCAAATGTTCCGTTGCCTGCCTGAGACATTTCCTCTCCCAGGCACGTCACCTTGCATTAGAAGCGGGTTTGACAGGAGACAGAATTACAAGACCTGAGGGGAATGCTGAAGAATTGAAACACTTGATGCGAATCAGGGTCATGGACAGTGTAGACGAGAGATGCGGGTAGAATGAAAAGAAAAAAAAAACTGAAAAAAAACTAGGCGATTGAAGGGAAGCTCGGGTTAATAATTATTGAATGTGCCTCGACATGCGGACACTGACGACCTGCAGCATTGGCGTGTGGAGTCCGTCCGTGTCCTGCAGCGCCCTGCATCTCCACCTCATTCTATGGTCACCTAGCCCATTATCTTCCCATGCCGCCAACTGTTTTCTGCACGCTGGACCATTTACAGACCAAGAACGTCCCATCCGTTAGTTACTGTCTCGCCTGAGATGTCGACCCGTTGAGCCAGCCACATACATACTCGTCTGCCAAAGCTGTCATCATGAGGGTGCATATCTCTGCCTGCGAAGATTCCGGGGCACCATACACAGGAAGATAAGTACGCAGGTACGCTACACGTTACACGTATTGCTTACGTACCTTAGGTAGGTAGGTAGGTATGTACTATGTACATACCTAGTAGAGAAACGCCCGAGGTACGCACCCCGTCCTTCCCACCTCCCCAAAGATCGAAAATACGCTAGCCCAGGCGCCCAGGCCGAGGTACCTACGCATCTGTCTACCTGGCTGGGTAGGTACTTACCTACTTTAGGTAGGTAAACTAGGTAGTACTTTCTTTGGCTTGCCAACGACCGTGGACCTTGAAGCTCGAGCCACACACAATTGTGGCCACTCACAGTTGAAATGCAATAGAGCTGAGAGACTGAGAGAGCGAGAGAGGACAGTTCTGTACCTGTAAAGCCAAGCTTTCCCCCAAGCTCCCTTCCTCCACCGTCTGGGTCTGGGTCTGTTTCTGCGCCTCTGCGTCTTGTATCCATTGCCATACCATTTGCCTTTCTCGTAGCACACTTCTGGTCCTACTCCCTACCCCCTTCGCCTCAGATTCAAATACCCTGTGTTGCCCTGCCCCTACCTCTCTCCACATCACCCATTTCCTTTACCTTTTTGCTACAGATTCTTCCACCCACCCCTACTCAACGGGACCTCAGGCAAGGTAACGTCGTCATCGCGACCCGCCGTTTCCGTGCTTCGTAGTCGCCTTTTTGAGAGTTTTCCATTCCAACCAGCCTCGATACCCTCCCTGATACCCAGGCAAAATAAGTTGCGTTGATAGTCCCAACAGCCGCCCACCATGGCTCAGATTCCGCCTCCCAAGTCAAAGCTTGACATCCTGCCCAAGATGCAGGTAAAGGGCCCCTTCTCCGTCCCATCTCCTGGAGTTGAGGCCAAAGACGGCGAGACCGTGCCGCGTCGACTGCCCCAGGCCATCCCGGATTTGATCACCATACCTGGAGGCAGCATCACCACCACCTACGAGCTCGTTAAGCAAAGTGCCGAGAAGTACGGCAACGCCAAGTGCTTGGGCTCGCGTAAGCTTGTCAATACCCACCGCGAGACAAAGAAGATCAAGAAGGTAGTCGATGGCGAGGAGCGTGAGGTCGACAAGCAGTGGACCTACTTCGAGCTGAGCCCTTACGAATATATTACTTTCCACGAGTACGAGCGTCTCACCCTCCAGCTCGGTGCAGGCCTGCGTAAGCTGGGCATGGCCAAGGCTGATCGCGTGCACATCTACGCCGCCACGAGCTCCCACTGGTTGGCCATGTCCCACGCTGCGGCCTCGCAGTCCATGCCCGTCGTGACAGCTTACGACACGCTCGGCGAGCAGGGCTTGAAGTACTCCATGGTTGCGACCTCTGCCAAGGCCATCTTCCTCGACCCCCATCTGTTGCCGACTCTTGTCAATGTACTTCAGGAGGCCAAAGACATTCGCTTCGTTATCTGGAATAACCAGAACCAGATCCAGCAGGCACACGTGGATCAGCTCAAGTCTGCTCACCCCGAGATTCAGATCTTGAGTTTCGAAGAGCTGCGCAAGCTAGGAGAGGAGAACCCTGTCGACGCTGTGCCCCCCACCACTGATGATCTGTGCTGTATTATGTACACTTCTGGTTCGACCGGCACCCCTAAAGGTGTTCCATTGAAGCACAAGGCCGTCGTTGCCGCTAGTAAGTTAGGACCAACCTCTCAATTTTGCACGCAGACGGGAACTAACATTTCCCAAGTTGCGGGTGTCAGTGCTGTCGTACAGCCCTTCATTGGTCCTGGCGACGGCCTCCTAACATACCTCCCGCTCGCCCACATTCTCGAGTTCGTCTTTGAGAACGCTTGTATCTACTGGGGTAGTACTATGGGATACGGCAATCCGAAGACTCTTTCCGACAACTCGGTTCGTAACTGCGCTGGTGATATCAGGGAATTCAAGCCTTCCGTGATGGTCGGTGTTCCTGCGGTCTGGGAAACAGTAAAGAAGGGCATCGTCGCCAAGGTCAACGCCAGCAGCCCTCTGGTCAAGACTCTGTTCTGGAATTCCCTGTCTGCGAAGATGCACATGATGAACGCCGGCATTCCCGGTTCTGGAGTGCTCGACTCTGTTGTCTTCAAGAAACTCAAGGAGGCAACTGGTGGACGTCTCAAGCTCTGCATGAACGGAGGTGGCCCCATTGCCAAGGAAACCCAGCAGTTCATTTCGATGGCCATTGCCCCCATGATCATTGGCTACGGTCTTACCGAGACCACCGCCATGGGCTGTATCATGAATCCTCTTGAGTTCAACGTCAACAACATGGGCGCTATGCCGGCGTCGGTAGAAATCAAGCTGGTGGACTTCGCCGAGGCTGGCTACTATGCTACCAACAAGCCTAACCCTCAGGGTGAGGTTTGGATTCGTGGACCCTCCGTCCTAGAGGAATACTATGAGAATCCCAAGGAGACGAAGGAGGCTCTTACTGAGGATGGCTGGTTCAAAACCGGCGATATCGGCGAGTTTGACAGCAATGGTCATCTCAAGCTCATTGACAGGAAGAAGAACTTGGTCAAGACGCTCAACGGCGAGTACATTGCCCTCGAGAAGCTCGAATCCATTTATCGTGCCGCTACTGTGGTAGCCAACATCTGTGTCTACGCTGATGCCAAACAGGCCAAGCCTATTGCCATCATCGTTCCTGCCGAGCCGGCCCTGATCAAACTGGCCGAGAGCATTGGTGTCAAGGGCAATAACCTAGAGGAGCTTGTGCATGACAAAAAGCTACAGAGCGCCGTTCTCAAAGAACTGCAGAACGCCGGCCGATCAGGCGGTCTCTCAGGCATTGAGATTATTGAGGGCGTTGTCATGTCCGACGAGGAATGGACGCCGCAAAACGTGAGTTTACATCGTTCCTTGCTATGGATAAGACTTGATAACTAAACCGACGTAGGATCTGGTTACCGCGGCGCAGAAGCTTCAGCGCAAGAAGATTTTGGAGAAGTACAAGGACGAGGTCGCCAAGGCTTACGGCTCTTCCTGATTGCGGACGTTGTGCTTGTTTCGATCTCTGAGGGATCTTTTCTTCTTTTGTTTTTCCCAGTTTTCTTTTCTAATTGGATCATGGGCTCGGATCTTTTAATTCTCCCGAAAGTTGCAGCATCGGGCTGGTTGGCTACGGGATGCTTGATATCCAGGAGTACAGTGTGCGCGATTCGTATTTGTAACAATATCAAACATATCTGGCCGCATGCTGAGCGTTCTCATTTCCGTGGGTGGCCGAGTCCAGCCAGGTGGGACTAACTGAGCATTCACCTTCGTACGCTGTTCCCAGCCCGTTCGAATCGACGGACGAAGAGGGTGCTATTTGGCAATCATGCATCCCATTTGACCGGGACCGGTCAAGTCGGTGTCCCACTATTTTGACCCGAGGATGCCGTGCTAACAGGAGCCTCTATGGGGGCCAATGTGACGCTCCGGATTGCCCAGCGTGTGCTGGTGTGAAGGATTCCCTTACAACGGGACGCTGGCCAGTACTTGCCGTGTTGGCCTTTTTGAAAGATGCAGTTTTCAAGTCCAAGGAGGTACTGCTCAGTTTTCCCATAATCTCCAGGCTCTCATGGCAGTAAATCATGTCATCCCATTCCTGCTAGCCCTGGTAATAATAATAATAATAAAAAAAAAGTCGCACCTTGGTCACTGCACAGCTCGCCATCCCAATAACAGAGAACCATGAAAACAACCCTTAAGAGGAAGGGTTGAACGATTTGGGAGCATTCTGCCCCCCTTTACCGCTTCTTCTCTTCTTTCATTTACACTAGGCCATCGTAGAGGGAAAGCGCCGAGACAATGGTCTCGTCGCGTTTGCTTCCCTCCTTAAACTCCTCCATATCCAGGCTGCCGTTCTCGTCCTTGTCCATCATGCGGAAAATTTTGCGTACGCGCTTCTCGGGGGTGTCTTCGTCTTCAGGAAGTTTAACCATGGAACCAACCTGCGCGAAGGGCAACATTGTTAGCCACACCGTATTGGATTTGGAGGATGTGCGGGCAAATGTCTTGGGTCGCAACGGTGCGCCCATAAGGTGACGGTCACCACAAAATCACAACCACAAATAAGCGTTGAAGTACTCACCATTTTGTAGATTGCCTCGACGATCTTGAGCATTTCATCGTAACTGATCTTTCCATCGCCATCAATGTCATATAACTGGAAGGCCCAGTCGAGCTTGTCCTCCATCTTGCCTCGGCTCGTAACACTCAGGGCGCAAATGAACTCCTTGAAGTCGATACTACCAGACTTGTCGCTATCGAAGACGTTGAAGACGTAATCTGCAAACGAACTCGGGTCTCCAAAGGGGAAGAATTGCCTATATATCTTCTGAAACTCTTCTTTCGTGAGCATGCCCGAGGGACAGTCCTTGAGGAAGCCTGTGGACAGTCAGTTTTCGTCCCCTATGATGCGCAATTTTAGGAGACGATGGTTGACATACCCTTGTACCATTGTTGGAGTTCCTTCTTGTCGAAATGGGTCGACTTCTGCAATTCAGCTAGCTGCTCCTGGGAGAGCTTGGACTGACTAGATGATGGTAACGCTATCAGCAAGTGCTCGAGCATTTACAATTAATATAGCAAGCAGATTCAAACTCTCTACGGTCCTTCTCCTACCGTACTATAGGGCCGTAAAATCGCAGGAAATGTGGCTGGAGGGCGACTCACGATTTACCCATAGCTGCTGACGAGCTTCAAAGAGGGGACTGAGTGCGAAATCCGAGGCCAGGTGGAGAGGTATACGTATGATGTCGGGGTAATCGCAGTGTGCGAGTGGCTGCGGTTGACGGCGGCCTGAATTCGTCGAGATGTGCGTCGAAGGAGCGAAAAAGAAAGCGATCTCGTCGCCTCGGTACAGGTGAGTGGGCCGATCAGGTGCCGGCGAGAGACAGCAAGCTGCAGGGTAAGCCGATGGTGAGGGAATTTAATCTAGTCGGACTCTATTGTATGTATGTGTATACGGGGACGAGTGGCGAACGAAGGCGATGTCGCGTAGGCGGCGGCGACGACGACAACGACGACGGCGACGACAACAACGAACAGGGCTGGCGACAGACAAGAGTGTGGTTGACAAGCGGGGGAGGGGAAAGAAATAAAGGGCCTAGGATGCTTTGCTGGTGGAGGTGGTGGCCAAGCGCGCTGGGTTCTGGTACTGGCTCTGGCTCTGGCGTGGGTGAGTGCTGCTAGCGGGGCCCGACGAGGAATGATGTACTTGGGCCAGGAAAATATGGCGACAGGAAGGGATACTACCTGTACGAAAGAGGTACCGTAGAGGTAGCTAGGGACAGGTATCGGGGCCAGCGTCCACACGGTACGAGGTGAGAAGGTGGGAAATAGGTGGGTAGGGAAAGGGGAAGCAGGGTTAGGATTCAATTAGACGAAGAAGAAGAAGAACTATCAGGAGGTAAGAGGACTAGAGGACAATGCGCCTGATGTCTATTCCTATTCTGGGCTCAATACGCAGCAAGTCGTCTGTCGCAAGTCGCAGTCGTGTAGTTTGCAAGCGTAAACAGGAGTTCTAGAGTTTGCGATTGGTCCAGTATGTAAACGAGAAAGAAGAGGGGTCGGAGGTTCAAGAGCCAATTAGTATCCATGTGCGAATGTCTGTCTGGCAGTTGGTCAGATAATGTAAGCTTCTGATCTGTTCCCCTTCTGCGCTGTCGCGGAATCGTGATACGCTGAACTCAGACAGTCACACAGACAACAGAATAGGGCAAGGCACAACACAATCCCGGGACCTCCTTCCTACTACATCACATCCAGCCATGTACACAACATTGTCTCAACAACGGCATTGAGTGAGTGACGGGATGCAGCGCCAAGTTCAGACAGGGAGTCGAGCAGCTGACAACTCGACCAGTCACATCACAGCCAATATCTTGCCAAGCATAGTACGTGTTGAGGCGCCTCACGCAAATACGCATCTAGAAATATAGCAATGGTAATGTCTTTCTAGCACCGGTTAGCTTCCGCATCAGTTCGGTAAGCCATTGGCTTTTTCTACTTGGGTTTTTTTTTTTTTCCTTTGAAAATTGAAAGATGATATTAAAGTCGTAGGACACTAGCCGCCACACCCCGCTGGCCATCTACAATTCCTCGAATGTGCCATCGGTCGTCTATTTCATTCTCGGACCCTGGAAAGATTGGGGAATTCAGCCGCTTTGTGAACGCAACATCGATTTAAAAAAAAATTCCACTTGGAATAGATGCTGATTTGGGAATTTTTGTCGGTGTTTTTCATCAAGAACACGTGTGGCACGGTCCGTCGTGAGGAAACGGGAGCGACAACAATCGAGAGTGCGCGACGACAAACGGTGAGTATTAGATCAGCCGAGGCCTCGCTCAGCCCCATCGTCAATTATCGTATGGATGTGGTGGTGGATGACCTTTCCAATTGGCACAGGGTCATCATTAACTGTTGATTAGGATACGCACCCTTATGACGTGCCTTGCCATTTTTCGACGGCGCCTAGGTGTCTACCTGCCTAGGTAGGCGCCGCCCCTGGCTAGTACTTCTGTCTTGGCCCTCTTCGCATATGATACCGGTATTCCTCACAGCCACTCTCGCTTACCCACCTCCACCGCAGTTTTCTCGGCCACACCAGCAGATAGCGCCACTGAAGATCCTTGGAGCAAGGGCATCAAATGTCATCATTGCTAGGTTTTGGCCGGACCCGGTAGAACCAGCTAGCTTCGTTAACTTCAACTAGGTACACCATCCACGATGATAGGATGCGACCCACGTTGGAGATGAGACAGGCTTGACGCCCACACACTGATCAGTCCACATCAGAGCCACTTGAAGATCCAAACAGTTCTTCATGCAAAGGGTAGCTCCTTGGGGACGCCCCGGTCGTCGCACGAAGAAAACCGCCACCAGTTCTTGTGTTTGGGGATGAGGAACCACCTCATCATCAACGTCACGAACCACGGCAACGCGGGCCACCACGCATAAATACCGCCCTCGAACGTTTTGTCTCGGTTGGTGAGGAGAAGTGGAATAGTCGTCGTCTGTCCCAATCACGTACGTCAGCTGCGGCTGTAGTCGATATCGTCTTTACGCTCCGTGGAAGATTGAACGAAGCACAATTTCGACGTAAAACAGATGTCTTACCTTGAGGTTGGGGTCATCTGATTTTGCAAGCAGCTCCTTTATGAGCTTCTCGAACCACCCATCCCAGTCGCGGTCATAGTCTCCCAGTTTCAACAGCGTGCCAATTTCGTCGCTTAGGTGCTGCCGCAGAACAGGCATGAACGAGTCGATGATACCTTTGAGTTTCTCTCCGCTGTACGCCTCCTCCCCTTTCTGCACCATTTCCAAGTAGCCCGTATACGCATGTAAGCCCTCGTGAAAAGCCTCGTGCTGTACGACGTTTGCCTGCATCAGCCCGGGCACGCCAGTCAGCTGCTCGATCTGGGGGAAGACCATCTCCTCTTCGGTGTGGTGATGCTCCTCAACCATTTTGGCCCACTCAATCGCATACGACACAAAGTCCCGGACGTCGTCGGGCGACTTCTCTATGTTGACGCACTGCAGGTAAACCGTGTTGAGGATTCGGATGATGAGATTGTGGATGATGGTCATGTCCTCGGCCATGCGGTTCGCCCCTGCTGTCCTGACGCCTTCCTGTTGAGCGGCACACGCTTAGTTCTTGCAGAAGACTATGACAGGCATCGAGAGTATGTGTACCTTGGAACCAGCGCGAGTGCTGCTGATGAGCTCAAAGGGCCCATCGGCCCATGGCTTCTTCTGCGACATGATTATTGATACTAATTGCGTCAAACAGGCTTGAAGGCCCCAGGTCATAGAGACACTCGCACATGGACGGCGAACGCGAGAGCTTCGTTTTATACTAGACACGCTCAGTGCTCCCAACACGCATGCTGGGCGTCTTCGGCTAATCGACCCCGGATACGCAGATCCTAGAGACGTGCCCGAAAATGTAGAGAAGGATTTGGATTGCTGACGAGAGCACCGGAAATAGGTATGTACATAGTCAGGAACGTTCCTAGTGCTGACGCCTGCAATGATATCGCCAGCCTATCGCTGCGTCTGTATGTCCACGTACCCGCTCCAGTTTGGGATTAGTCCAATCCTTAGTCTGACTACTTGCAGATGTTCGGTTTGTGACGTGGAACGGTAAACAATCTGGGGAACTCGTGTTGCAATGTCGATATGTGATAATAGTGATTGGTGATTGGCTTTGGGTACGCGGAACAGTAAGCTACATGACTCGCTCTCGACTACGTCCAGAATCGTAATAAGTAAATCAACAAAATAAGAGTACTCGCAGGAACAATTGGACTTGTATTATACCTACCACTTCAACGCCTAGGCTATAACAGACTGTGGCCCCCCTGCTCCAACAATTCTCCAAGAAAGGATGGTAATTACGAAAAGCACTTATGTCCGTGTCTCGTTAAGCTTTGTTTACTCCCAGGCCAGTCTGTCTGGTCCCCCCCCCCACCTTCCCCTCGATCATCGTGAATGTAAACCCCAAACGCAAATACGCCTTCGCACGTAATGTAAGGACAGCACCCCGACAATGTCTCCTCTATCGCGTCCCTTGTCTGCCTTCTATGCTTTTGGTTTCATTAACCAACAACGGCCTTCATGCTCAGGCTTTCCAAGAAGCCACCCAGATCCTCCTTCTTGACTTCCACCACGCAGTGCTCGAAGCTGTCTATGCGAACGCGAGCATTGGTTTCGGCCACGACTTCCTGGAACGCCGATCCGAACCGGTTGAGACCGTAGCCCTTTTCCTTGGCCTCTTCTTCCTCGTCTTCCGAATCCGAGCCGTCCGACGCCTCCGATTCCGTATCGAGCTCGTCCTCGTCCTCATCTCCCTGCCCCGCAGCCCGACGGGCAGCCCGCTTCTCCTCGCGAACCTTATGTCTGTTGCGTCGTGACTCCTCACGCCGCTTAAGCTTTTCTTCATTGGCCGCTTGCCTTTTCCTGGCGGCCTCGCGGTCAAGGAATGTAGTGTCAGGGCCGCCGCCGCCGCCTGTACCGACCACGAGGTAGACCCCGCGCTTGTCATTGAGGCTGGCGACCACAAGCGGCGTGCCGCGACCTCCATGAGAGAGGCGGCCTGTAGTGTCCTTTTCTTGCTCTACAAGAGCCTCGCCAACCCAGAGGGCCAGCTTAGTGAGAGCGGCCGGGTGACCGAAAACGGGAACGTCGGGTCCCTCCTTAACGACGCACATACGAAATGCCCGCAAGTGCTTGATTTGCTTCTTGTTGATAAGTGACGTACCGGTGCGGTATATCGCACGATGAAGAAACTGAGCTGTGGGAAGTCCGCCTTTGAGGGCATCGATACTGTTTACCATGTTAGCAGGGTATGGCATAGCTTCTTTTCGTAAAGGGACTTACTCCTCGAGTGCATCGTAAGCTTCCCAAAACCGGCGGACCCACTCCTCTCCTTGCGCCGCGATGATCTCGTCATCATCCACTTCTTCAAATTGAGAGTCCTTGGGTGCCTGCGTGAGTTCGGTCATATCGCTGTGCTTGCCCACCTCTAACAGGGCGCCGATAACCACGCCAACATCTTGTGCACTTAGAGTCGCTCGCCAGCCCCAACTGCGGACGAATCCCCAGCCATCCTTGGCACCGGACCGATCCTTGCCATCTGTATCAACCGAAGGGACCATGTCGTCCAGATTGTAAAGGGAAGCGTACTTGAGCAGCTTGGTCCGCAGCTCTCGCTTCAGCATCATGTCCATGTGCGTGTAGCTTTGCTTACACTGGACCAGACTGACGCCCATCTTGGCCAGGAGTTTGTGGAGTCGCTTGAGACCTGTCTCACTCCACGTCTTGAGCCGGGCAAACAGATAGGGCGAATGAAGCATGCTATCGTAGAGACTCCAGTGTCTGATCAAGAGAAACTTGGGCTCTGGCGACAGCCTAATGCTCGTGTCTTCGGGGCTGCGAGCAGTGGTAGGGATGATACCTGAGCTCTCGGCCATCGACGTGCGACCGTTGGCGACTTCAGGGGGGTTAAGACGCCGGACTTCATCTCGTAGGAGTTGGCGGATACGGGCGCCTCGTACTCCCATCCAACCGTTTTCTTGGCCCCTGTCAGAGTTGCGAGCTGGGACCGCAATGCCTGCAGACGATCTGCCGTAGAGCTCCATCGACGTGACGCCGACGATTGTAAGCCATAACAAGTCATTGTCTTCTCGGCCAAGCTCCGAGGCCAACGAGTACATCATAGAGGATATTGGCTCGGAGAAGGACGCGCCGATCTTGTAATACTTGCGAAGCACATCCTCGTTTTCTCTGCGCAGCCGCAACAGGCGGCGCCGCAAAACTCTGGCAGATGGCATGGGCGGTGGTTGAGCAGCAGATGGAGGCTCCAGGGGGTCACTTGACAGAACCATGCCAGCGTCCCGCAAAGAGACCAGCCCTCTATGAGCAGGCCGCTGTGGCGATGAGGGTATAGAAGACGACTGCCGCACATTAGCATCTGCAAAGACGAAGTCTTGAATGACGACTTACAGAGTTGCCTCTTCTTCGTTGGTGCGGCCGGTTATCGGCGTCACTGGAGTCGTCCTCTTCGTCTCGATCAGACCAGCTTTTCCTCTTTTGGCCGGCATGCGTAGATTCTTCGAACAAATCCTCGTCCTCGGCATCGTCGTCGTCGTCTTCTTCTCCCGAGTCTTCACCGTCGTCATCGACCTCAGGCATGTCGAGCAAGGCCAGGTACGCTTCTCTTTCCACAGAGAGTTCGTCTTCGATATCCCCGTCGTCGAATACGACGATACCGCCCTTTCCAGGCTTATAAGCGCGGTCGATTCGACCAGCTACCACTCCTACAGGGCACCTTGACTGTAGACTGGCTCCTTCCTCAGCGGCGGGCTCGAGAGGAAACCCACCAAAAACGTTGCCCAAGTTCCACGGGCGATGAGAGTCCATGACCCAGACTTCAACGCCGCCGAAGCTCGACTCGTCCCCCTCGGGTTCGAGCCCCAGCAGGCTTCCGAGATCGACCATGCCGCCGACGCCGAGGCAAACAACAACTCCTCCACCGCCTCCTTGAGTCTCCATCATGGGCTGGACCAGGTCCCGGCCAGCGCGATCGAGGTCAGCATAGCCGGAGATGGGCTGGATCTTGTGGGGAATATAATCGTGCTTCAGTAGGCGAGTTAGGATTCGACATGCGCAGAGGGCATCGGGTTCGAGCGCGACAAGGACGAGGACGGGAGGAGAGAGAGGGTGTCGCGTGTTCTGTAGGTGAAGGTAGAGTTTGGATATGAGGGGCCGAGGTAGATACATGACTAGGAGGATTCGGACGTGGGTCGAGGATGTATGTCGAACGGCTTCATGAGATGCAAAGATCCGGCTCTCTGTTGACGACGCGGTTTAGGCGGCAGAGGGGCTAGACAGTAGGTGTAATGGCCCACGCCAACAACGGCTGGATAGCAAACGCGGCGAGCAATCGAGAACACGGGGGATGCAAGTTATAAGTTGGAGGTTCTGTGTCGATGAAGGGCATGTGACTGAATAGAAATCGTCGAGTATCAAATGTGAAAGAATCGAAGGTGAGTAACCATGAGTATTGCACCTCATGGGAACGTAAATTCGACGTGTGCGCGGGCGAGTGTGGTGGATCGGATAAAGTGATTGAGCTGGAATGGGCTCGACGCGAACGCGTGATTTGACGCGACTGTCTCTGCACCGCGACCCTGGTCCGCAAACTTGTAAAATTGGGAGGGAGATGGATCCTCGGCCGAGTGCGCACGAGCCACATGATTTTAATCCGCTTCCCAAGGATCTAGACCATCAGCGGCTACCTGTAAGCAGGTCAGACACGGACTCGGCTGAACTTATCAACCTGATCACCCAGACGGTAGACCAGACCTACCTACCTACTTCCAAATATCCCGGCTAGGGGCCTGATCGGCAACGGTGGGAATGTTGGATAACGCGCCAACTTGGATAACGTGAGGGGAAATATTAGTCAGAAACCGAATAAATGCAGCGCTAGGCCAAAAGAGGCCCCTTTTTCATCAGCAGAGTTCGCCCATGAGAAACCTTGCCATTTCAACACGTACCTCGATAAGAATGACTTTTCTGCCGCCCAAAAGAGGGGAAATGTCAGATAACTGCCCTGCCGCCACCCATTGTATTATAAGGTCCTCACGAGGTGCTTATAAGCTATCCAGCACTTGGATATAATGATGACTAAGCAAGGGTTAGGGTTATATATTATAAAAGTGTAATAAAAACGCATTTTATTAACTTTTAAAAATCAGGGTTAGGGTTACAGGGATAGTATGGTACATCTTGCCTAATTAAGGTTTAACTTAATGCGCTTATATAAGCAGTAAGTACTCCTTATTCGAGGTACGGGCTGTTATCCAACTTCGCCGCCGTTGGCGATCAGAGCCTAGGTATGTTTAAAAGCGGCTTCGCTGTCCGTCAAACCTACCGGCTCCGCTGAGTCTAATTGCGGTCTTCAGTATCAATCCCTTGAGTTTCTCAACCTCAACGCCGCCCATCGTCATACAGGTACTTTTTTTCATTGGTATTGACTGTTCTATCGGCCGTGTCTCCTTGGATTGTCGAGCACGCGTCGTGTCTGTCGACGTAGTCCATGAGCAGCTGCATCCACTCCATTCCGTTACTCCACCCTGGTCGCAAAGAAAGCCATTCCCTTTCGTCTATATACTGCGTACTCTCCACCACATGCATGGGAGCCTTGGCTGGCCGGATACCTAATACATACACTGTATCGTAGACATAAAGGTGTTGCCTTTGGTTTCGGCTGCGACTATTACTGCTGCTTGTTTGTATTATATTAGACTCTCGTGGCTGGACAATGCAACATACCTCGTCACCTCTGCTCACCTCTCGAATCATTACACCCCGCATTTTCTCACACCGACCAGTACCGGTGCGGCGTGAGCCAACTGTGACAGCCATCTTAGCCGCACAAGCAAATTTTGCAGATCGCTTATGCGCGACTTCCTCGAAACGGTAAGGCCTCGCCTCTCTGCTTGTCCTCGCGGCGAAATCTCGCACTACGGTTGGCAAGTGCGCCTGTCACCGTACTCTTTCTGCCCCGACGCCCCTTGCGCTCGCTGGCTCGACACCCATACCCCATTGTGATAACCGGATAGCTAGTTTGTTGTTTCGCAAAACAAGACGCCGGGCTCGATCCTTTCCTCGCCAATCTATACGCCTGGAGACGTGCCATCGAATCGACTCAGCATCTAACGGTGCTCAGCCGACTTGTCATTGACTTCTGGTAAACCGGCGCCGACACCGGCACCGGCGTGCCTTGGGGTTGCCTTTATCGCCGTCAACGTTGGTTCGGACATATCCCGCACCAGCCCGTTGGTACCAGCATGTTTGTACCACCCTTGTAGGCATTGCTGGAACACTTGTACCAACCCGGCCAAGGCCAAAAACTGCATGAAAGTAGCGGAGTTGTTGGTGACTGGGTTACCGCCCTGCTGGTTCGAGACTTGGCCCTCAGTAGTACCATGTACTCCTTATGTCCCTCCGTTTCTCTCCTGTGGTTTGTCTTTCTCCCTGTCGTTCACACCGTCTTCTGCCTCGTCCCGTACTGGCGGCCTACAAGTGCTGCATGCGACTGGCTGGCCTGCGTACCATTCGTCGTCTGCGGCCTGGCGGTGTTGGAAACATTTCCCTTTATGCTGTCTACTGGCTGTACTAAGTTGACGAATACTTACGCTCGATTTGTCCTACGAAGCCTAGCAGTCTCGCTCAGCTGTTACGCAGCTCATGCCGTAGGGTCCTATGGTCAGAACATACCTTGTCACAACGCATATGCCGCGACTGGTTTCTCTATACAAGGTCTTCGATTGACTGAGAAGGGAGCCGGCATCCTTCGGTTGCTTGGCCTCGTGCCAGTCTATTGAGAGCATCTGGTAGTGGTACTCCCAGTCTCTCGTGTCGCCACAGCGTACTCCAAGGTTCCTCTCATCGGAGCCCGCTCCGAATCGGCTGTCAGACTCCAGGACCTTCGTACATAAGCAGTGCTGCCATGACCCTGGCATTGGAATCGTTGGTTTCTCAAAGACTGAATCCAGCCTTTTAAACGGTTCGCGGCCATGAACATGTCCAACAGCGGGCCTATAGAGCCAGCTCCAGCAGACATGTTAGACGAGGACGAATTTGAGGGATCGGACTACGCTGAGTCGCTTGCGTCTTCAGGCTTCACCTCGCTTGCTTCTCGTGTCTTGGAGCATTTCCATGAAGGCGGAAGGTGCGTAATTCATGGCATTCGCCCTTCTCGTTCAAGAACTTGTAGGCTAAGGTCGCGTATGCTCAGACGATATCAATCATTCCAGCAAGGCAAATACCCGCTACCAAACGATGAGACGGAACAATTCCGCGAGGAAATGAAGCATCAGCTAGTTAAACGTCTTCTCGGTGAAAAGGATTACCTATCGCCCATCGGCAATAACCCGCAGAAGATCATGGACATCGGTACCGGCACTGGCCTTTGGGCTGTTGATAGTGAGTTTGGCTATGCATGCTGCTTCAATATCCAATCATCTGACACTATTTAGTTGCGGACAAGTTTCCTAGTGCCCACGTTATTGGGGTGGACATCTCACCAATACAGAACTGTTATGCACCCCAAAACGTCGACTGGAGGATTGACGATATTCAAGAAATCTGGTCACCGCTGTATTCCGACCTCGATTTTGTCCACCTCAGATCGGTCAGTGTGACCCTTCGGGAGCCAGTCAAGGTCATTCGCTCGGCGTACGAGTAAGGCCATCGTCCTCAACGCCCCTCAAACATCTGCTAAACCGGTAACAGGAATCTCAAACCAGGCGGCTGGATCGAATTCCAAGACGCCGGCGTTAGGATCGGGTGCGACGATAACACGCTACCTGAACATTACGCACCGGCCAAATTCATGGACACTTTCATCCGCACATTCAAAACGCATTTTGGCTGGGACCTGGAATTCCCCAATGTTCTACCAGAGGTCCTGAAAGACACTGGATTTGTTAACATCCACCACCGGTACCATAAACTACCCATTGGCCCCTGGGCTAAGGACCTGCGCCAGCGAGAAATTGGTCTCTTCCTCAGCAAGGACGTGCTGTGGCAACTCGTCCGCGCTGTGCTCGTGAAGTGGCCACGAATGGGCCTGACGAAGCAGGAAGCCGATGCTATGGAACAGGACATCCGAGAGGCATTTGAAAACACCTCGTACCACGCATACCTTCCATGGATATCCATCTGGGCCCAGAAGCCACCCAGCTGACGCGTGGATTACAGTCTGCCATGCCTTAGGATCTTGCAAGCGGCTGATGTACGCTCAACGCTAGGGTTCCAGTCTGAAATCGACCATGAATATACCATTGCGGGCGATGCGGGCGTGATAAACTGGGGCAAATCTTGAGCGCTCTCTTACATGCCCGCATATGTCTTCGGGCCGAATGCTGCAAGCCCCTCTGCATAAGCACGCATCGTGGAAAGTCGGTGGATGAGAAGAGGGACGGATACGTGCACGTCAGACAGCATTCGTGCCGGCACTCTCCTCAGGAGAGCCAGGCCACCGCATCTTCGTTAGTGAAAGATCTTTGACTCCGGCCGTGGCCGCCGTCCTGGATGATTGGAAGTATGTTGGTCACTAGGCTGGCTTGGCGAAGTACTTCACCTGTTGGACACGGTCAGGAGCCGCGTTTGCTCGAGCGAGACACCGGGGCCGGGTTTTATTATGGCTTTCTCCCATAAGTAACATACACGTCAAAATACCCATGCCTTCCAATATCTCGCCACTCCGCGATCACCCTCGCGCTAAAGTCCCATACTTCTTCTTTTTTCCAGCCCATGAAACGGGTGAAAAGGGCTAGCGTCATGGACTCGAGTCCGACGCTAAAATTGGCCTCGGTCCAGAGCCCGAGTGTTTTATGCTTGACGTCCCGCGGCCACTGGTTGATTGGCCACTTGAACTGGATGCGCACGATGTCGACGAAGCCAACGCTAGTCATCATTTCCGCTGCCCTGCCGCAGGTGTCCAGCAGGAAGCCGGATCTTCTACCAGCTTCCATCATCAGCTCATTCCACCTACCCAGATCACAGTCTGCTGATATTGTCCCATCGTCGCACTTCATAGGGAAGTCGATATCCTGGATCTCAAGCCATCCTCCAGAGTTGAGGTTGCTGTCGATCATGTTAGTTATACATGAGTGCTCGGGCAACAGACTGAGATGACAGACTCAAAAGCTTGCCGATGGAAGTTGTGCCAATCCTTGAAAGCGCCCGTCATCATCATGCTGTGTACATAGTCAAACTTTCTCGAGAAGCTCCATTCCTCTTCAAGGTCGTCAATCTCGTAGTGGACGTTGGGTGGTGTGCTAGCAGCAAGGTCAGGGCCCCGGTATCAACGTTTTCGACACCAAGACTTACAAGCCTGGCTGGACAGGTGACAGATCTACGCCCACCACCTCGGATTCAGGGTGTTCCTCTCCTGTTCTGGGGTTAGAATGAGCACAGGGCTTTGTCATTGGAACACACCAAAATCGATTGTCCATAATCCAATGCCGCACCCAACATCCAAGACCCTGTGCGGCTGATGGACTGGGGCAAAGTTGAGCCTATTCTCAAAGGTGAGCTGACAAAGCTGATACTGAAATGCTGTTGCGGTCAGCAGACCACTCGGAGAATGCCATTCCGAAGTTAACTGTACCCTGTCGGTCAAGTTCTTCCTGTTCACGGGACGGGGTCAAATTACCATCAAAAGCTTTCTGCAATTTATCCAACGAGCAACACATACCTGGTCCGTGGGCAAGACGTATTTCCCATCCTTGTACCCGTGATATATGCGGCCGTTTTCTTCTCGCGCGCGTACTATGCTCGACCGAAGGGATGCAGTAGACGATGGCCATGCCTCGGACTGCTGAGTATCTTAGTATCTTTCTTTCACAAGCTGTCTTTGTGACTACCTCTCCCAGGGCAGAGTCGACGTCACTTCCCGGAAGGCTCTGCATCTCGGCGTCGTCAATGTCCTGTGGCTGCTCTTAGTTATGGATACCCGTAAAGATGCGGAGTTCTATAGTTGTGTGCTAACATTGTCCGGTTCCAGGTTAACGTTAGTCCCATGAGGGAATACGGTGTCTACTTGATGTATTGCATCGGACACTGTTTCTTCCATTTCCATGCTGAAAGATTGTATCGCGATCGTAAGTGTTGACTGTTATGTGTGCTCTCTCTCGGCTTGAGCAGTCAGAAGAACAGTGCCGGTGCATGAAGTTTTACCTCGTGAAGACATGGTTCTAGTGGGAAGTATTGGAATGGTATTTGTTGCTTGCTGGCTGTCAACCACCTTGACGAATGTTGGGGCAGAGAAAGCAACGGGTAGCGCTTGCTCCATGGAGGGGAACAGTGCGGCTGCGGTGCTACTAATGAGGCAACACAAACCAGTGGCCTCCTTGTCAGCCGGGCCTTTGGCTCAGTGTTACCAGAGTTCGTGTATCGTAACTGCTTCTTCTCCCAATTGACATGCTGGGGCACACTGTGTATTGTGGGCAGTATGAAGGCGGCATGTAAACTGTTTCCGAATGATTCCTGTCGGGTGGTTTGCTGCAGAAGAAACCAGCTGCTCTGTACCTTACTCATAGGGAAAAGCGCTAGTTCAGCAATTATATTAGGACCTGGCATCATCCAAGGAGATATGGCCATTATTAGTCTAAGCCGGAATGAGAGATGGGAGCAACACTGTGTATTGGCGCCAGCGGTGTGTGTTACACCACGCGGGGAACATATGCAACGGCTTATCACGATGATGGTCGGGCGCCAACCGAGTTGTCAACGTAGAACCTAAACAGTGACCTTTTCGCCTAAGAGAATTAGAGAGGAGGAGGCGTCAGGCATTTCAACGCCAAGTATTAGTATCTTGGTGTTTTGAAAGCCGAAGAAGCGTGGCGTCTCGTCATCGGCCGTCCCGCTGAGCTTCGGATTCTTGCATGTTATCATGCAGCCTGTTGGGTGGACAAAAGAATACGGGCGTGAGTGTTGTAGCTATGGCCTACCCGGTATAGCCTCTCTGTTTCGTTGCCCGGGAAGATCTTGGGGAATGACAAGCAGTGAACACCCGTCATAGGAGTAAGGAAGGCTAGAACATCTCCTGCCGTCTCCACCTATGGGCGCTTGCACAGCCGATTGTTTGCTTGCAGCACCGGTAAGACGAAGCCAAAGTGGCAGTAAGCCCGACAGGTGAGGGCCGGGTGAACAGCTGGTAGCAACCAGACATATCACCCACAGGGTACCTTACATTGGCTGTGACCACCCGCACACCTGACTCGTCGGAAAACCACTGTGCGATTGCCTAGTTGGCTGATGAAAGAACTCAATTCTGGCCACATCGCTCCTGTCTAAGTAGACAGACATGTAGGTACTGAAGGGAGAAACTTGATCTAGGAGCAGCAAGTAGATAAAGAGGGGGGTGGGCGGGGAGGGGGGGGAGCGGGGTCGGCCCGCCATTAATAATGGTGCCTTGCCAGTGCAACTGTCATATTTGCCTTTGACCGGCACCCGATGTCATGCGGGCCCTTGTGGAATACTGCATATGATAACTCACATTTCTTCAGGTATCTCGAAAGAGGTGAACGGGAGAGGAAGACGTAGAGGAAGAGAAAGGGTCTAAGGGGGGCATGAGGTGGTCGACAAGACACGATTGCTTCACACCGGGGACCAGTCCATGAGGGATTCGCTTCCATGTCACCCAATGCTTCTCCTTCCAAGCAAGCCAATAAGGTGCCCCTGCTAGCATTTCTTTTCTTGTCAGAAATTCGAAGGGGGTAACTTGGGCTTTGCTTCCTCCTCCAGTTTCCCATCGCCGCTATCGAGTGCTGCTGCTTCCTTTGGGGGTTTCTTTGCCGTGGCCACCCACGTCTAAGACAAGAAAGGCGCCATCCTCCATCTACCTAGGTACTGCATTTACTTTTACGTGACTGCCCGCCTTGAGCCCATCAATACCGTCGTTGACCAAGCCCTCACTGCCCCATCCAAGCGGTTTTCTCTCTCTTCTCCTTCTTCTCAACTTCGCTGACTCTTCTCAGCCCACAGTGGGATATTACCGCCGTTTCATACCCACCTTAGAATTGGTCGTCCTTACACCAAAAAGCATACACCGAGACATCAAGATGATCATCACCGAGCTCTCGGGCCACATCTGGAACTCGCTCCTGCTGCTCGCTACGGTTCTCCTCGTATATCTCGGGACATTGAGCTACCGCTCATGGCGCCGTCTCAGACACGTCCCTGGGCCACCAGGTGCCGCCTTCAGCAAGTGGTGGATGCTACGTAACACACTGGGTGGGCAGATGCATCTCGCTCTCAAGCGAGCCTGCGATGAATATGGTAAGTCCGTTCTCGCCGTCGACCTAATACATGGGGGGGAAGCACGGGAGCCCGGCCCCCATTTCTTAGCTGCCCAGCCGAGCGGTTTGTGCCGTGGGGAAAAGGGGATCAGGTCTCAGACACACATGACGACGAAAATAGCCATTGGGGAGAATCAGGAGGAACAACGTTGTCGTTTCGACAGGCTGCTGACAGAGAGCTTTGTGCTTTAGGCCCGGTCGTCCGCATCGGTCCCAATGACTTGGTAACCAATGACTCGGAGCTCCTTCGTCGTATGTGGGCTGTCCGCTCGCCATATTGCAAGGGCCCTTTCTACGACGCCGTCAGGTTCGACCCGACCAGAGATAACCTCATCTCCATGAGGGATGATCACGAGCACAATGAGCGGCGAGCCAAGATGGCTATCGGCGTGAGTTACGCCCTCCCGTTTCGATCCATTGTATTCTCTGACTCGATGGCGTAGTACTCGGGCAAGGAGAACGAAGGGCTGGAAGCCACTATCGACAGACAGATACAGGCCTTCATTAGACTTATAGAGGAGCGGTATGTCTCGACGCCTGGCTCCTTTCGTCCCATGGATCTATGCAGAAAGGTCCAGTACCTCACGCTGGACATCATCACATCGCTGGCGTTTGGTTACCACTTCGGCTACGTCGAGCAAGACGCCGACGTCCACCAATACATCCGGATGACGGAGCAGAGCATGCCCGTTATGATGACCCTGTCTGTATTTCCGCGACTAGCAAAGCTGCTGCAGTCTCCTCTATTCCGCCACGCCATGCCGTCGGAACATGACCGGGTGGGATTTGGCAGGTTCATTGCGTGAGCTACCTCTTTCCCTATTTCGCCTTGGTAGAGAAGAAGCGCTAACGACTTTTGGTTGATTGATGGTAGTGTTGCAAAGAAGGTTGTGGCCGAGAGATTGATGTCAGACATGACGACGAAGCGGCGAGACATGCTCGGGTCGTTCCTCGCACACGGCCTAACCCGAGAAGAGGCCGAGAGCGAGACACTGGTCCAGATCATGGCCGGATCAGACACGACAGCAACGGCGATCCGGATGACGATGCTGTATCTAATGACGTCTCCTTCATGTTACTCGAAGCTCGCCGAGGAGGTCCAAGAGGCGGCCCAGGCGGGTATCATCTCGTCACCCATCACCAACCGAGAGGCTGGCGATCTCCGCTACCTCCAAGCCGTTATTAAGGAGGGCCTACGGGTTTTCCCTCCCGTTACGGGTCTCATGTCGGCGACGGTGCCTAAGGGCGGGGACTTTATGCACGGCATGAGTATTCCCGAGGGCACTGATATTGGCTGGACGGCATTTGGCGTGCTCCGCTCTACGAAAGTGTACGGCTCGGACGCGGATGTCTTCCGGCCAGAGCGGTGGCTTGAGGCTGGTGAGGACCAGCTCAAGGCTATGATGGCGCAGTGGGAGTTGGTATTCAAGTACGGCAAGTGGCAGTGCCTGGGAAAGACGGTTGCTCTCATGGAGTTGAACAAGGTTTTTGTCGAGGTGAGTTATGCCGGGACCAAGGCCTCTATGATGAATGAAGTCGACTAACTTGCGCAGCTCCTTCGTCGGTTTGACTTTTCCCTCGTGGACCCTGCTATGCCCTGGAACTCGTTTTCGGCGGGAATCTTCATCCAGTCTGACCTCCTGGTGAGAGTGAGCAAGGCACGTTCACCATAAGAGAGACGGTGGCATACATGGCAATGAGTTACAAGGACAAGAGTCTAGAGGCACATGACGACCTATGACGGGATGACACTTACGGCTGAGGCAGATTGAAAATACAGAGATCCTTCGTTGAAGTTAACATGTCAGCCAGAGCAGGTCAAGATGCCAAAAGAGACAAGATGTCCGTCACCTGCCGAAATCCTCGTGTCGGTGATGCTAGCTCGCATGCAATAAAGACCCAAGGTTGAATGGCCGTGGATCCTGTCCATCTACCTCGTTGTATCCTAAGGTAGATGGAAGGTCTTCTGGGCTGGTTTGGACTCGGCGGCGACTCGTCGTTGCTGAAGATGCTACGACACCCCCGCGCATTCATCTGAACGCAGCTACGGAAGAACGGGAAGGGCCGGAGCAGCACCGGTACGGCAAGGTGGTGAAGCTGGGGAAAGTGACACCCCCCCGCCAGGAGCAGGAGCCCTCCTAGAGGTACATAGGTAGGCCATCCAGCGCAGTTGAGTCCTTAAAGCCGCGTGCATGCTTACTGCACGCCAGAGTTGGCCCTGCAACGGTGCTTGCCGCGTTGTGCTGCTGCGCCAATGGCCGTCAAGGAAGGAAGGAGCCTGGGGCTTGGTGACTTTGCCGTTGTACCTGCTTGCTTGGGGAACCCTGCCCATGCAGTACCGGTAATTTTTCTATGGGAATGCCGCTGTGCAGGAAAGGAAATGACGGCCACATGACGAGCCCCTTTTCCAGCTTAATTTACATACGGTACTGCCACAAGGTCTCATCCTTGTCTTAGCACAAGTCTGGATGAACCTACAGGGATCGACAGCGCGATGATGCCGGGAGTAACCTTTGCCAGCTAAACTACCTATGACTGCACTGTGCCAAGGCGACCCCGGGGCTTCGCGATACGAACATGTCTTATCCCAAAGACTCCGTCGGCGTCCGTGAAGGAAATCTTATTTGGGATACCTCTGTTCTGTACAAAGCACCTTGACGCCTTGATCAGCTTCTACTACAACAGCAACAGAGATGGTACTAAGATCAAGTCTTCTATGGTTCGCCGGCCTCGTTGCCAACGTCGCCGCAGCAGACGTTGATGCATTCATTTCCCAGCAAAGAGACATCGCTCTCAAAGGGGCTCTGAACAACATTGGTCCGAATGGCTCCCAGGTCCAAGGCGCCAGCGCTGGCATCGTCGTGGCCAGTCCGTCCAAGAATGACCCTGACTGTAAGTTAGATTTCTCCTAACTATGCATAGTTCTGTGTCTAATTTGATCAGATTTCTACACCTGGACGCGTGATGCCGCGTTAACAATGAAGGTGATCGTCGATGAGTTCATATTTGGTCGCAAGGAGCTCCAGGTCTACGTCGAAGATTACTACCGCTCTCAGGCTGTTTTGCAGACCATCACGAACCCCTCCGGATCCTTTTTACCGTCTGGACGCGGCCTCGGCGAAGCCAAGTATACTGTCGACGGCTCGCGCTTCAACGGCGCATGGGGGCGACCGCAGAGAGACGGCCCGGCATTGCGTGCCATTACTCTCATCACCTACTCCCGCTGGCTCGCAGAGAACGGCGAGCAAGCCAAAGCCAAAGATGTCATCTGGCCCATCATTGCTAATGACTTGTCCTACACCGGCCAGTACTGGTATGCCCCAGTACCCGCTTCTCGAGACCTCATCAGCCACTAACACGACGAAGGAACTCGACAGGCTTCGACCTCTGGGAAGAGGTCTCCGGCTCTAGCTTC